TAAAACCTACAGTGGAACTATTAATTCTAATATCTCTAATTCAAGAAATTTGATTGGCTAAACCTGAATTTGATTGGCTAAACCTGACGGCGTACACTGAAACATACGGAATCACGTTCACGATGGTAAAATGGTGAAAGCGCGATGGTGCGATGATGAAAACACGATGGTCCGATGGTGAAAACACGATGATACGAACATGAAACAACGAATGTACGATGGTGAAACAACGATGGTGAAAACACGATGTCACGATGATGAAAATACGATGGTACGATGATGAAACTGCGATGGCATGATGATGAAAACGCAATATTATTTTCACCATTGTGTCATTGCATCAGCGTGATTTCATCATTCTGCTATCGTTGTTTCATAATCGTGCCATCGTGCTTTTATCATCGTACCATCGTATCATCACGCTTTCACCATTGTACCATCGTGCATAGCGGTTCAGGGAGACAAAATGTGTTACTTATGTCAAAACGGATCACCGAAATCGGGCGATATTTGAACGAAACAATATCGCGACTCGTTTCGAATCTCGCAGGAATCTCCCGTCTCGTTTTGCATCTCGTACGTCGACGCGAGACAAGAAAATCCTTCGAGGCCATATACCGCTAAATAGTATTCCCTTTATATTCTACATTTTTCAAAGAGCTACAAAACATAACTAGACCCATTTTAGAGAACAAAAACTTATCTCATTTTAAAAAGTTATGCTAAAACTGAAATAAAATGATGAGAAAAGTAGGGGTCATGTATCTTCTAAGAAAAATTTCAAGCGTCACATTTGTTACTGTAAAATCACTTAAAAAATCACACTGCTGTGACGTGGAAGAACCTACAATACTAAAATTGAAATTCACTGTATCGAATAAAACCTTTGCTCGCAATTTTTCTATTAAAATGTCAAAAGCATATCCATTAAACAGAAAACAAATTTAGACGTCTATGACCATGCAGAGTGAAAAATTTGTGTCGCCATTACGTGACAAGGCCAGATGACTCCCGCGCTGGTTTCCTTACCATAGTCTTTGAGAAGCAAAGACACGCAGCAATGCGCGATATTTTTTACCGAGAGACACGAAAAGAGAAATTCCGGCAAAACATGAAGCAAGGCACGATATTCTACCGTGAAATATCGTGGGACGGGATGCTTTGACATTGCGAGATCTCGTGTTACAATATCGTGCCTCCCTTTGCGTCTCGTCGGAAGTTCGCTATTCTCCCGATTCTGGGAGGCCCGATATTCCATAATTATGGCATTACCCGGATTCTTTTAGGAACTCATGCTCGTTGTTAGTGTTTTCAATGGCGAATCTGAAAGCAGCAATTTGCGGTAAATGGTGATATTTCTTATATATATTTCTAATGAAAACAAAAAAAAAACGTTTGGGGCGGTCTTCTCATTTTCTTCCTTATATCATTCAGGGGCCTCCGTTGTGATTGTGATTTCAAAAAAAACAACATTTGTTCGTTACCGCTTAGGTCCATCACTAACTCGGTGCGTCGAACTGTTCATGCGAGGAATCCCTCCAGGGTCCAAATGCGGAATACCTATCCGCGTGCGCACGTTATAACTATCCCCTAAAAACGTAAAAGCTATCGCGTGCACACGTAATTGTATCGCGTGTACATGTAAAAATGTAACCCTACCCAACCAATTTTAAACACTTATTTGACCATTTCCCTATATAATAAGCCTTATTCAAAATATCCCTAAAAATACCACAATGAAGGGATGTTTTCAAAGTTTGGCTAATTTTTTTTAAAAGTATATTGTTTGATCATTCGAAATATAAAATACTTTAACCGTATAGGTTTTATTTTATTAAACTTGAAAATATTTATATTTATATTATATTTGCTATTAAATTTTGCATTAATTAGCAAATAAATACCTGTAATAATTATATAATTAGAATCAAACACTTTTTTCTTCCATAAGGGATCTGAGAGAAACATAAATAATGTTAAAAAGAAAAAAAGAAAGAAAAATAAAATTGCCTCTTCTGGGGTTTGAATCCACGCCCCTCAATTTCAATGTAGTTGACAAGTGATTCTAGCCTATTTGAATACTCTTCAAAGTGGAGGCAATGCATTAGCAATGGTCTAACTTAAATCATTTGCCGGAATGAAACGCGTCACAATTGACAACGATAAGAATGGACTCGCTGCATATGTGTTCTGCACTGGTAGAAATTTTCATTGTGACATGCAGAACAGGGGTATTCCTTTAGTTAATATATGACACCTATGCAGAGGCAGGAAGTTTTTGACTAACCGGAAATGACCTAAAACTGCATTATAAATACAGAAAACACAGAACAATGGCTGGAAGCCTGTATACGGACGGGCATAATTATTTACTTTTTTAGAATTTTATGGAAGAATGTGAGACAAATGTGCTTCGAGTGTCCTTTCTATTGCGGGTCGAAAAAATCTGTGTCTCGCAAATATGAATGTTTACGAGCACATCAGTCACACCTCGTGAAACAAATGTGCTCCGAGACAAATGTGCTCCTACAGAGCACAGTTAATTCAGTGAGATTTTTAATTTATTTTAAACAAACAATTATTTTTAACCTTTATTAAATGCATTGCACGAACGTCTTCATATTCAGATATCGTTATGTGCAGGTTTCAGGTTTTATTTATATTTCTCGAAATCAACAGAAAACAACTAGTAAGATCTTATTCACCTATAACGGATTTATTTCAGAAACATGTGCATGGTTAAAATTGTTTTTTAATTATGAAAGTTAAAGGAACAATATGTCCCAGAAACAAATATACTTCTACAGACATGAATTTCATAATTTTTAAATAGATAATATTAGATACTTGTAACATAAAGAAAGTAGCGATAAATGTGAAATAATTTGTCATAAAAGTAGCAAAAGTAGTATTTTGACTTCCAAAGAAAATATTGATTTACTATAATTGTTCTTATTGCCAACAAACAACATATGAAAAAGATGCTTCAGGTAATTTACCAATGAGTAACTTATTGGATACTATAAAAGCACACCAACATTTAAAGCTTTTGTGGAATAAAATAAAATCGTTTTCGAGACATAACTGGCCTTATGGTCTCTAAAACAGTATGGTCACGTTGTTTCTTTTTTCTTGTAAACGCAAGATATTTAAATGTGTTGATAAGTTTACACTTTTCTTTCACTTTGAGGAAAGTCTAAGTTTAGGTAAACAAGAAAAGGAAGTAAAAATTTGGACAATATTTTAAATCAATACTTAAAAGTGTCTGCGTACTTAAATGAATACAATGTACCGTTAAGATGAAATAGTTATGACCGGTAGTAACACATTTCCTAACACTTATCATGTCATGTTTCTTACATTTATGTCCGGCTGTTGTACTTCAACATACCAAATCTCCTCAATTCCTGATATTTCAAAACATCAAACAATAATGCTTTATCATAGATGAAACACACAACAAATTTACAGCAATGGGACACAAAGCGATCTTATCAAAAATTTGTTTAACAGGTCTTCCGGCACGTTTTATTTTTGAAATGGCAATGCCTTAAAAAAAATTTGTCTAACGTAAAAATTTAGAAATCGGCGCCCTATATTCACACCCTAAACTAGGACCTGAGTTGATCACACAAGATTTAAAAGCAGACGATAAACATTTTACCACATTTATGATTGTAATGCATTATTTATTAATCGGCAATATTGACTTGAGATGTTTGAATATTCAATGACATTTTGTCGGTAATTATTGGATTCCGAAGTAAGCCATACGGATGTTAACGCGTGGTACAGCGGTTATAGATAACTTAATTACACTTGCCGTACTCTCCTCGGTGACAAGATGCAAGGCTTTTCAAATTAAAGATTGTAATAGATTCGAATCAAATAATTTTTTATTATGTTTATTTGTATGATTTATTATTATATTTTGGAAAACTTCAAACTTTGTTTCATGCCCGCGAGTCACGCATTGTACGACTTTACATACTAAATTAATGAAATAACAAAAATTATGTAGATCTATTTATCAATATTAAAAAATGGAAAAAAAATGATAGAAATGAAACAATTCATCAACGCATGTTTCATTTAAACGCATGTTTCATTTAATTGACATAAATAAAAAATTAGTTTATGAAAACTGCAAAAAAAACTGCAAAAAAAATATTCAAGATTCGAACTTGTAAGTACGTGGTTTTTTACCACTAAGCCATCGAGCAATATTTATTGATTAATGTATCAAGATCTATACTATCATTAAAATCCTACTGGTTTTGGATAACCACCAAACCCGGATTGTCTCGAAAATGCCTGATTTAGTTTTATCTCTTTGTTCAGTGGTTATCAATATATCAGTCACTTTTTAATCAACAATAAAATAATGTATATTTCTTCGATACATAAGTAATTAAATTTATTTTAATTTATGTAAAAATTAATATTTAAATGTCTATTTCAAGAACGTTGACGTTGAAAATTTGGATTTCCAGAGTGATTATACCTGACCTCTTTTACTAGCTATAATCATTTGCAGAGAAAACAACAGAATATCCGAAACATTAGCATTTGTTGCTGAAATATTGTATATCATATATAAAATAAAAATAGAAAACACCAAAGCTTCTATCTGAATTAAATCAGCATAATTACATATCTGTTCGGACACATGGTACTGTAGTGTGGACAATTTAGTTAATTGACAGGCCTCAGATATAAGTATCAACATAATCATAACTAAACAAACTAGTTCGTTAGTTATGAGAAGAACCTAGCTGTACTGTGTTAAATTTTCAGATCTCTAGCTTTAAAATTATAAAATCTGTTTGGAAAATGTTCAAAAAGTGTCCGGTTGATGGTCCCCAACCATTAGCGCTAATCATAATAAATTACGGAAACTAACGAAAAAACATCACGAAAATTAATCAGTCTCAGGTCAATGCTACCAAGCAATATATATGCTACTCTAGTAATTTGTTATGTTTATTTGTATCAAATAGGCATTGTGACGTCAGTAAGTATCAACGGAGATGACAGTGTAGTTGAAGGAAAGTCCATTACACTAAAATGTGTGGCTACGTGTAACAATAGCACGTGTACCTTCAAATGGAATGGACCTTATTTACCGTCCATCACCAGCCAGCCGAATCTTTTACTTGACAAAGTAAACAGAAACTACAGTAACAAAAGTTATACTTGCGTTGTGACTGATTCGGGAGATAATAACAGAAAAGAAGCCAAGACATCATTTGTTGTATTTTGTAAGTATAAAATACTTTAGTTTTGAAAGGAATATTTGTTAACATTAATTGCAAATCGTTCTTTATGCTGCAAGTCACATAACAGGGTAGTTGAACAAGGTGATGAACATTAAAAATGACCAGTTTCTAAACCATCTTAGCTGAAGTGATTTCGGTCCAACAGTTTCAAACTTTTTTTTCGCCAATAGAACATAAAAAACACATTTTTAATTTTTTCAATCCCCCCCAATCCAAAATGCACGTATCTAACTATTATTTCACTTATTTTTTAATTTCCTTCGCTCTCAGCAAATATTTTCTTTTTATGAAAATTTACCGCTCAGTCTACAAAAGTATGATATTTTTATCAAACGAACAACACACGCACGCACGCACGCACGCACACACACACACACGCGCGCGCGCACACAATATGAAAATCAAGGAAATAATCTCTCCAAAATAAAAACAGGTCACTCTTGGAGTAAACATAATTGTAAACTGTATATCAATCGTGACATCCCCATAGTAAAATATTGACACTACATGTATCTAACTGCTGTATGTCGAAAGTAAAAACAAATAAGAGTCGTATGTCTATACTGTTTCTGAAATGATCTGGTGTTTCGAAATACTCCCGTTCGATATTTGAAAAGCTGTTTATATTTCTCCTCTGTAATGAATGCATGTTCTGAATGTCAATGTGCATAGTCTCTGTTCTGGTAATTCACCGACATATCTTCCCGTTTCTTGCAATTGTGCCAGTAGAGGACGTTCGTTTCGTTTTAGGTTTCGTTTTAGGTATGATTCTTGCTCAACTTTTGAAAAGTCTATATGTTCTTAGTTTAAAAAAATGAGTCAATTTCTCACTCCACTCTGACTTTAATAGCCGATTGAGCGTTTATTAAATTCACTGGTGTGCGATTGTTACATTTTTCAATCAGGCCTATTTTTCCTTATTTTCACAACACCAATGATTATGACAATTGTGGTAATCCATGTTTGTGGTTATATTTTCGTCCATTATGATTACATTGTTCCGTATTCATATCATGTTAATCCATCGTCTTTGATTTGTCGGTATCGTTCTTTCCGTAAGTGAACACATTTCGAATAAGTACTCGCCACCGTCTACACCAATCAAACACTTTGACGAGAATACGTTTGAGACCCCCTTCAGATTTTGCGATAAGCACTTTACCATCTGCATAAAGTGGCATCGAAAGTTTTCTTCCATCTACGTTAAACCCAAAGTCAAGGTCATAGACCTCATTCACTAGATCATTTGCGAAAATGGAGAATAATGTCAGTTAAACCAAATCTCCCTGTTTTACTCCAATAGTACATGTAAAACAGTCTGTTAACTTATTGTACGCACACTTGCAGTAGATCTCTGATAAATAATCTAAATGGCTGTGTCAATGGCGTCAATGATGAGCTGATATTTGCGTGTCGAATAAAATTCGATATGTGAAGCAATGCTGTTTTATTAAATATTACTCGGTATAATAATTACTAAAGCGATTTATTTGCAATATTTCGTGTAGACTACTTTTGAATTAAAGTTGTCATTTTCAAACAGTTATCTGCTGATTGTGCGCGCGCCATTTTTTCTTTGTTTGTGAAAAACAGTCCTATAAAGCTTGCTAACAATCAACGGCGGGTAGCTAGTTGTGATGGCTGCTAAAAATAATGAATCTGCAACTCCAGGTTTCAACAAGAAACGTCATATTAATGAAATAATTAGTTCATCTGAGGGACCTCAAGCTGATCATGCCAATTCACCATACCCCACCCGCAGAAAAGAATATAGATCTCCTGAGGTACCATTTTAACTCTGAACTTCATTACAAAGATATTGATCTCGACCCCGATATACGAAATTCTCCAACACTCAACATCTTTAAATCTAGACTTGAAAACATTTTTAAAGCACCAATGGTTCTAAAGCATTTTCTCCATGGCCAAAGATACTTATCAATACTGCATACACGTTTTAGGAAATAATTGCAATATAATAAACATGTGCACGAAGTCTTTTGTGTCAATGTGATATTGTGATTGAAGATGCCAAACATTTCTTTTACAAATGGTTACGTCGAACAACGAATAATTCAACGAGAAACCTGATTTTATCATCCATTAAACACAGACACATTACTGTTTGGTCGTGAAAATTTAGAACATGAAGATAACGTAGTCATTTTTTGAATCCGTTCAAAAATTTATTATGACGATATAAGTATTCATTATTGCCCTTAAAGTATTTTTCTATAATCTTGGAAGGGCTTAATCTAATGTTGCTAGAACTTGTTGCCCCACCCGTCTGCTTTTTGTTATTTACTCATCATTTGTATAATATTTGACATGTATTTGATGCAATAAAATATATTAATAACTAAAATGGTTGTGCACAGGTGCCCATCAATTCCATAAATTTTAGTGGCAATTTGTATAACAGCATATCAAAACATTTGCGTAAGTCAAAAAGGACACAAATACCCCATTATTGTGACGAATTATATCGTTTTACGAAAAGACAGGCTCATCAAAAGAACGATTGCGTCTAAACCAGTTTTGCTCATCTTCCAGTTTGTCATTTTATTCGATATTTTTTTTGTCAACCGTTTATTTACTAGACACGTGTAGAAGGACAATAAAATGAATCCTCTATAATGAAATAGTACATTGGGATCTGACATTGGATCTTTAAAAATGGGTCAACGTGATTTCCTCCTTTAAATGGTATTATGCCAGTATCAAGGATCAACTTTCAGTTAGTTCTTTCAAAATGGAAATTAGAGCAAAATACGGAATCTCGCCGTAGCCATTCAGCTTTCATAACCACTTCACTAATTACCGTCAACGTGATACTTCCGGCACGTGTTACAGTTTAACTGTATAATGGATCACTAATATTATCATTTGACTTATGTTTTCTTGTTTGATTATAATGCTCACTGTTGAAGTTACTAGTATCTGTGTCATTGTATAAACATTCAAAGTCATGTTTCAATCTATTCAGAATCTCACTTTTATCACGTTTCATCATTGATAATTTCCAATGGAATCAATTTGCCGCTTCTTGGGTATCTTGTTTTTTTTCCATGAATTCATTAGGATGAATTATTTGTTGTCATTGTTTCAATTTCCCCCGACTTTGATTTCCTGTATGCCGTTTAGCCTGACGTTATGATTTATCAAACTCCTCTCTTGGTGTAATATATTCACGTGTCGTAATGTAGATTTTACAATGTCACAATTCAGAAACTAACGTTCTTTTTGTTTTTATACTTTCCATAGTTCTGACAGTTTCATTCCAATATGGCTTTCGAATTTTCTTTATTTTGTCTTTGATAATATAGTTTTGTTCAGGAGTTATTCTGTTCATTTCTTCAAATACCATTCTACAAAAAATGTTTATAAATGCTGTCCATGTTAACCGATGTTTCTCGATATACAGTCAATAATTGCCATCCTCGCTAAATCACTTAACATAAAATCGTCCTTTAAAACGCTGTCACTTAATCTCCTGACCAGCAGACGACTGCTGACCCACATTTTCTGAATGTGCAGCATAAAATTGAGTGATTATCGCTGAGTGATCAGGTAACTTTGACCTTTTAGTCAGGTGCATGTATCCGCACTCCAAAGCATACCCATTGATTGGCTCATTTTTTCTGGGGTTTACGTAATGTGAGGACAGAGAAAGGGATTCAGATGCTCGTTAATTGGTTATTTTTTATTCGGGGTTTCATATTGTGATAGGGAACGTGTTTTATTTTTGCCTTTGATACAAAAAAGAAAGAAAATCAAATACTCGGCAATCTGATTTATTTCGTACAAATCAGATTGCCTCATGTTTCGATGTTCTTCCTATTACTTATTTGTTTTTGTTTAAGTGTATCTGTAACTTTTTAGCGTACCGATTTTTTTCAAAGCCTCGTTTAGCAATTACAAATCCCTTTAAATACTTTCTCATCAGAATCACCTATAGCTAGAGCAACCTTACCTGATTGAATGTCTAGCTTATCAATATAATTTTCGATTTTGGATATAGTCTCATTTACAGTCAGTATGCTCTCAACTATCAAATTCTTCCGATTCCACAAGTTCCACCAATGCCACTAATTGTTTACTTCTCATCTCAAAAATTGGAATAACGTACGACCTACAAATACCGTATCTCGGCCAAAGTGAATTAGCAAATCATTGTTTTACTTAAATTTATGGCAAATTTATGTGGCATTGATTTTAAGTTTACTGTCCAGTCATGAATGTTCTGACAGTTTCAACATTTAACTCCAAACAGTTCTTAGAACGAACAAAAATTCGATTGCTGGTGAAATACATTCTTTGATGAATTATAATGTAAGCTTATCTTTCTTACAGTCCTTCATTTATTTCGAACTAGGTATAGAGCAATTCTATTTTTATCGACTGGTTCTAATCTCTCTTGCTTCCTGAATTTGTTCCGACGATTCCGGGTTCCGGCGCTACATATTTTATGTATTTTATGAGTTTCAAAATATTATTTTTCTGTCACATAAAACAAGACATGAACTATTAAATTTATTCAAATGCTACTGCTTACTACTTGTTTACGAAATACAAACGCACATATCCTACTTTTATTATTTTATTCTTTTATTACCACCACTCTCCGGAAAGCTTTTTTACGCGCAAATCTTCCGCCAAAGTTAAAGTAATCATGACAATTATGAAATGCCAATAAGAAGGCGATGATGGCCCTGAAATCGCTCACCTGAATATTAAACTCTCAATGATAAGGAACAAGTAATATTGTAAACTATAAACAAAAGCAGATATAAAATCTAAATCAAAAGTAATATCACAAAGTTCATATTTGTTTCTGAAATAGTGCATGTGTAAAAACATTACTGTTTGCTATATCTAAGGAAAAACAACAGTCCCAAAGGATGTGTACGTATAAGACAAATCAATGACCTCCTTAGGCAGGGCCAAATTTGACTCTAAGGCTTTTATTTGAACAATCTTGGTAGGCACCTAGAAGATTTTTCAATATCTTACCTCTAGCTCAAAAGGGAGTTTAAGTTTTTTAAGTTTTTTTTTCCTACAAACATACAAGGAAAATCAATAACCCTCTTAGGCGGGACCAATTTTGACCCAATGGCTTTTATTTGAACAAAACTGGTAGACAAAAATAAGAAGATTTGTCATGCTTAATATCTAACTTTTTTGATTTTTTAAGTTTTAACTATATACATTTAAGGAAAAGCAATGACCTCCGATGGCGCAGCCAATTTTGACCCCAGACCTTTCATTTGAACAAAAATGGCAGTCAACTACTAGAAAATGCTAAAATCTAAGCTCTAGCTCTTTGGGTTTGTTAAAATTTATTTTTGTTTTAACTGGAAAATCAATGACCCTATGGGACGGGGCCAATTTTGACCCCAGGGCTTTTATTTGAACAAACTTGGTAGAAACCCATTTCAGGATGTTTCATGCCAAATATCTAAGCTCTTTCTCAATGGGTTTTTAAAAGAAGATTTTTAAGTTTTTACTATATAATATAAGGAAAATCAATGACACCCCGGGACGAGCCAATTTTGACACTAGGGCTTTTATTTGAACAAACTTGGTAAACATCTGTTTAAAGATGTTTAACGCTTGATATCGAAGCTTTGTCTCCTTGGGTTTTTAAAAAAGAAGATTTTTAAAATTTTTATTATATATACATATTTGGAAAATCGGTGACCCCCGGGGCAGGGCCAATTTTGATCCCAGGGATTTTATTTTTAACAAACCTGGTAGACACCCATAAGAAGATATTTCATGCTTAATATCTAAGCTCTAGCTCTTTTTGTTTTTTTAAAAGATAATTTTTAAAAAAAAAGTTTTTACTGTATGCATATACAGAATATCAATGAACCCCTTGGACGGGGCCAATTTTGATTTCTAGGACTTTTATTTGAACAAACTTGATAGACACTCACTAGAAAATGCTTCTTGCCAAATATCTAAGCTCTAGCTCTTTGGAGTTTTTAAAAGAAGATATTTTAATTTTTTTCTTTTGGTTGAAATGGCAATCAGAGTGTTCTGCATGAAATTAAACTTGTTGAACAATTTTAAAGGTGACCACCAAAGGAACATTCCTGTGAAGTTTGGAGGAAATTGGCTCAGTTGTGTATGAGGAAATATCGTTTAAAGTAAAAGTTTACGGATGTCCGACGGACTGACGCCGGACGAAAAGCGACCACAAAAGCTCACCGTGTTACTTTGTGACAGGTTAGCTAAAAACACAAATTGAAGACCAAGGATAAACCCGCAAAAATAAAAATAGGTCACACTAAAAGTAATCCTAATTCAGAAATAAAAATGGAGGAACGTAAATTTTTTAAATCAATAATTAAAATTAGAACAGTTTTAGATAAAATGGTCTTTGGCAAGTTAAGTAAGACTGGGCGTTCTTACATTGTGTAATGGCCTGATATGTTTCAATAGAGTTATATATATACCCAACAATTAGTATTGAAATTTTCTAACTTTTTTTTTCTTTATTTGATTCATTTTCTTTCAAGATGGACCTGACACTGTTTCCATAGCAGCAGGACCTCACCTCAACGTGACAGTAGGGGTCACGTATAGCAGTTACGATGTATCATGCAAGGCAAGTAATTGTTACCCGCCATGTAACACTTTTAAATGGACAAAGTTGCGTGAATCCACACCTATATCAACACAGACGCGACTGTTTAAAATAGATAAAGATATCCAGAAAGATGACGCAGGAAGTTACAGTTGTTCAGCGTCAAACGATAAATCTGAACCGAAAACAGCACCGCTGACTATCACTGTAAATTGTAAGTTGCATGTCTATTTAAATTGATTTTTTTAATAAGTTAACATTACACGTTTCAATGTCATGTCATGCATTGAGTTTCTGACATATATAAATTAAGATAAGATCCCCCTAATGTACTTCTCTGCTTTGAAAAGTAATTAGATAGACTAGACTTACAGGCAACTGCATTGGAAATGAGGAGCGTGCGTTCAAACCCTAGAAGAGTCAACTCTTTTTTTTCTTTTTTTTTTATATCTTTTAAGTATCTCTCAGATCCCTCATGGAAAAAAAGTTTAGTTTTAATAATATAATTATCATAGGTATTTATTGGTTAAAATGCAAAATTTAATAACACATATAGTACCTGATACTAGTATTTTCAAAGTCTAATAAAATAAGTACAAATGTTGCTGCAATGCAGCAATTGAAAAGCTCCGCACAAAAAAAAAAATAATAAAAAAAATAAAAAAAATAAATGCGCTCATTACAGATGCAAATCATTCCTATGCACAGGTCAATTTCAATTTAAATTTGCATAATTATACTTATGGTATGCACTATCCATTAGAGAGGGGCCAGATATTAAATAAATAGTATGCTTTCAGTAATGCCTACCTGGTAAGGAAAGTAATTTCCATACAAACAAGACTTGTAATGTGACATTACAGTAGTGCTGTGTCACCAGTGAGTAATTAAAGATGATAATGAAATATCAAAGTACATGTATGTACATTTTCTTTTTCACGTATAATGCTACTCATTTTCTACAAATATCAACAACTAATCATGGTAAGAAATATAAAATCCATATGTTGATAAGTCAAAATCGACTTTATTTTTCAAAATGTCCGTTACATGTTCCGCGGCAAATGGTATCATGATATAATAAAGGGAGATAAATCGTATACACTCATATGGCGAAGGGAGACTACGCATTATTTTTCCTTACATAAATTTACATCTAGCTGTATTTGATCTGTAATATAAATTTCTGATCCGTATAATTATTTGCCTGACTAATTATTTTTTAAAATATCTTTTCTAGAACAGTTTCAGACTCAAAACTTAAGCTACTAAAATAAACATTATATTTAAACAGATTTTCGGAATTTCACACTGTTAAGGTCATCTATTTATAGCTTACGAATTCATGTAACCAGTCTTGCGCACAAGTTACCCATAGCATACTACAAGACAATTAGTACTTCCCTTAGAAGATACACATGTAAAAAATAAATTACCAAATTGAAGGGAAATTTTGTTTTGTGTTTTATACTGCTTTCCCAGCGGTTGAGGTGTGCAACTTGTTCCCGTTCTCATTCCTTAATATGACATGCTGCGAATCACCGAAGGGGAAACCAATATATGACTAAACATAACAGAAATCGAAACGAAATTGTGGTTCCGAATTTATTTTTAGCTGTAAATCGAAGGGATTAATTGATCAAAATCGGGTTCTTGAATAAAAAATAGCTCTGCGCCTGTGTGTGCGGAGCAATCAAAACTACCCGGTTAAAGTATTTTATCTTTGACAAGATTAACCAGTATTCGTTTAAGAAAATTTAGGCAAACTTTCAAAACAGCCCCTCTCTGATATTTTGAATAAGGCTCTGTAGAAGCACATTTGTCTCGGAGCACATTTGTCTCAAGAGGTGTGACCGATGTGCTTTTGCGACAAATTGGAAATGAGACAGATGTGTTCGACAAACAATAGAAAGGACAATCGAAGCACATTTGTCTCATATTCTTCCATCTTCCATTAAATTCTAAAAAGGTAATAATTATGCCCGTCAGTATACCGGCTACCAGCCATTGTTTTGTGTTTTCTGTACATTGTATTTATAATACAGTTTTAGGTCAAACCCGGTCAATCAAAAACTTCCTGCCTCTGCATAGGTGTCATACATGTATATTAACTTAAAGAATATCCATGTTCTGCATGTCACAATGGAAATTTCTACCAGTGCAGTATCCAGAATCCAGACACATATGCAGAAAGTTCATTTATATCGTTATCAATTGTGACACGTTACTTTCCGATGTTTTAAGTTTTATAAATGATTTAAGAAATATTCTAAGCAACAACAAGGTAGTATCTACAGTGGTATAAAAGGGACATTTCTTATTTATTACTTGCACACGCGATAGCTATTACGTGACCACGCGATATTATAACGTGCGCACGCGATAGCTATTACGTTGTAAAGTGATAGTTATTGCGTGCGCACACGATAACTTTTACGTGCGCACGCGGATAAGTATTCCGTATTTGGACTTAGGACGGGCTTTGTCGCATGAATAGTTCGACCCCCAAGTAAGTATCGAACCTAAAACGGTTAGGGGTAAGTGGTTTTTTGAAATCACTCGGCCACAGAGATCCCCTAATGATCTAAGGAAGAAAATAAGGAGACCATCCCACACGTATTTTTTTTTCATCAGAAATAAGTTTAAAAAATATCGCCATCTTTACGAGAATTGCTGCTTTCAGATGCATTTACAGCGTGCATGAGTTCATAAAAGAATCCGGGCAATGCTATAATTATGAAATATCTGGCCTCGCAGAATCGGGCAAGACGTGACATTCCGACGAGACACGAAGCGAGGCACAATGTTGTAACACGAGATCTCGCAATGTCGAAGTATCCCGTACCACAAAATTTCTCGGTACAATATGGTGCCTCGCTTTATGTTTTGTCGAAATTTCGCTTTTCGTGTCTCTCGGTAAAATATCGCGCATCGCTTCGAGTCTGTGCTTCTCAAAGGCCTGATGGTAAAGGCCATCTGGCCTTGTTGCTTAATGGCAGACAGGTTATTGGACACTATTTTTTTCACACTGCATGGCCATATATAGACATCTTATTTTAAGCTGTTTTCTTTTTAAATTTCATCATGGATATAATTTTGACATTTTGGTAAAAAAAAAGCAAGCAAAGGTAGTATTTGATATGGTGAATTTTAATTTTAGTATTGGTGGTTCTTCCACGTCACAGCAGTGTGATTTTTAAGTGATTTTACAGTAACAAATGTGGCGCTAGAAATTTTTCTTAGAAGATACATGACCCCTACTTTTCTCATTTTATATCAGTTTTATATAGAATATAAAGGTAATACTATTTAGCGGTTTATGGCCTCGAATAATTTCTTGTCTCGCGTCGACGTACGGGTTGCGAAGCGAGAAGCGAGACTCAGGCGAGATGCGAAACGAATCACGATATTGTACCGTTCAAATATCGTCCAATTACGGTGTTCCGTTTGAACATAAGTAACATTTTTTTCTCCCTTAACCGCTATGCAAGATGGTACAATGGTGAAAAGCGCGATGGTACGATGATGGAAACACGACGGCACAATTATGAAACAACAATAACACGATGGTGAAATCACGATACTGCGATGACACGATGGTGAAATACTATCGCATTTGCTTCATCATGCCATCGCAGTTTTATCATCGTACCATCGTATTTTCACCATGGTAACATCGCGTTTTTACCATCATGACTTCGTTGTTTCACCATCATACAATCGTTGTTTCACGTTCGTACCATCGTGTTTTTCACCATCGTACAGTCGCGTTTTCACCATCGTACCATTGTGTCATCGCGCTTTCACCATTGTACCGTCGTGAACGGGCAAAAGTCACATCAGGGCTGCCTCAGATTCGACACACAAATAGATACTAAAGTGTTATTAGTAAATTTTAGAGCATATTAAACAAAAACACATCAATAACCTTCATTCATAAGATAATATACTAGTAAAATACAACTACCATCGGATAAAACAATCGAAATGCAAGCATCGATGTTAGATTTCTGGCAATGTAGTTGCAAGACCATGTTTTTCACGGTTATTTTGCATGGCAATTTAATAATTTCACACTCGTTATTTTGTTAAGATTATTATTTATATTTCATTTCTCCCCATATTAATAAGTTTCATTTTCTCACAATGCAAATATGTTTCATTATTTTCACCATTACAAATGTATATTATTGGTTTCAGATCCGCCAACTGTCCGACTGACCTGGCTAGAAAATGAGAAAAAATTAAAATGCCAGGCTGAAGGGGTTCCGAATAATTATGACTTTCAGAGGATCAAACAATTCATGGATACAACTTTTCTTAAGAGTTATGACGTCATTCAGACAGATGCCACCGCTACGTTAACGTTTAAAGAAAATACGTACCAAATGACCGGCAAATATATCTGTTACGTTACCAATGGAATAGGTAGTCTACAAAGCGGTTCAATTTCACTAAAGATTGAAGGTCAGTTTATTCCGGCTTTATTGCAATAAATTAAAAAAGTTTTCAAACATAAAGTGCTGTAAAACTTTGTTTCATTTCATACATAATATTACTATTTACTATTTCCGGAGCTGGCTGGGCTGGTTAAGGTTGTTGACTTCAAACCACTTGCCCCTCATCGCTGTGGGTTCGATTTCGGACGAGTATTTTTGATTCATTATTGCGAGGAAGCTATACATCTGGCTTAATGAACGTCAGTGGTGTCCGTTTTTGCATAAATTAATGCACATACAGACATTTGAGGACTTCCTCCACAAGTAAAGCTGAATGGCATGCATGCATGTATGTATGTATTTATGCGTGCATGCGTGCGTGCGTGTGTGTGTGTGTGTGTGTGTGCGCGCGCGTGCGGAAGACGACTGTTCCGTTGTATCCTTTTAATCTTGAAATGACAATAAATTTTATATTTCAGACAAACCACAAGTCGTCAAGCATATCAATCATTACAATGTTTCTAAAGGCAAAAATCTTGATGTCAATGTGGAGCTATATTCATTCCCTACAGTAACAAAAAGTCAAATTAGTGTCAAATCAACCTCAGGTCGTAACCCTTTTATAGTCAGTGAATTAAAAAATAAAACTGTCAACGTTACATTTCATGGAATACCTTTAGATATGCCGGGGCAAGAACTCGTTCTGTCGTTGAAGGAGGCTTTAGAGGAACATTTTACTAATTTCACTATAACAATTGGTAATAATTTCGGCTCCATGACAACTGATATTATTATTTATCCTGAAGGTAAATAGCTTTTATGGTCTTTATCTATATGTACATATTTATTTCATTTTCTATATGATTTATATAAGATTTCTTAAAAAAAAAGATTTTTTACATGTACCAACACCTCCTTTACTAAGAATGAAATGAAGTGATAATAATTGATTCGCATTGACATGGTCTGTATTATTTTGAATACGTTGCATCTGAACTGGAAGGACGTATCAACAATGATTTAATCAACACAACACTATTAAGCATCCTTAACTAATACTACTTACATTTCAGTTAGTGTCTTCTCATTTGATACTTCATCAGTATTAACATTTTTAGTTAACCTAACTTTCATCTACACGTTTTATCTTTCACATTTTTTTCATGACTTTTGACATTCTGTTCTACAATTCGCAAATCAAATTTTGGTTATTGTTTATAAGGTAAATTTTGAGTAAAGCTAATTAACTCTCTCATATATATTCTACGTGTGACATCTTATTTCAGGACCACCAGATATTCCCATAATTTTCTCTAAGTCTGATACTTCACCACATTCAGTTAGTTTTTTACTGGTCACTGGGTTTTTCAATGGAGGTGGACAGACGATTGTGGTGGAACATAGATCAGGTCAATCAGAATGGTTAAATGGAACAACCAAATATGCCGGCGAGGAGAAGAATAAAAGTATGATTGTAGCAGTTAAAAGACTAGATCCAGAGACCACATACGAGTTTCGAGCCTACGCTTTCAACGAGTATGACTGTAGCAATTATACAGATGTAATCAAAGAGACAACATCCGCTGGTTAGCTGTCTGTTTTCATAATTTAATCTACAATCACTCAATCAAACTATAAATGAATTTTATTTATGGACATTATATTATGCATTTTTGATTGTTTACTACATTTATTTGAAAATGCAACCAACTAGTTTCATAGTTCAAAGAACAATATCCAGTTCCATATGCATTGTATATTAAACAATTTGTTTATATAATGCTCCTGATTTATTTTACATGGTAACATATTAAATAATAATTTCATGCTTGGAGTCTTAAATTCTAAAACATTTAAGTGTTTTAGCTTCAGAAGTAAATGTTCATAAGAAAATAATCCCCATGAGTAAAGAAATTGAGACAAAATAAAAAGTACATTTATTTTTAATCAACAATCATAGAAATGTTTTAAATAATGCATTTTTGTGTCGCGTTTAATTTTTGCATTTAAATAATGAAATATCTTAAAAATCGATATTGGTTTCATTTTTTGTGTGCGTTTTCAGAGGAAAGATACACAGGTGCGATAGTTGGAGGGGTGATCGGGGCAATTCTCTTGTTGGTCATCATAGCTGGGCCGCTGGTTTGGATACGAAGAAAGAAGAGGAAAGGTATGAAATTTATAATAAACATAACCTTAAATATTCGCTATTATGAATCTTAAGTATATAAACCTAACATACAGTATAGGCCAATAATAACGAAAGCTACAATATACGCACATATAAAACTAATCTATTCTAAAGGCGAATCTAACTCTCAACGTAGGTATATATAAACATAATCTACAATATAGGATAATATAAATCAAACTTACATTATGGGCAATTATAAAAGAAACTTGCAATATAAGTAAATATAAAACTTACCAACAATATTGGCCAATATAGACCTTACCTTTAATTTAGGGCAAATGCACCTTTTTGTGGATTAAAATCTGCAAAAGAACAAGGACGATCCTGCAGATAAAAGTGAAGGGGCTTCTGCAGATATTTAGGCACGATTGAAACGTGATTTAGCGCTAATATTGCATAAAAATGGAAAATTTGGTTAACAAATTAGAGTTTTGTTTCATGAATATTTGTCATATCCCTACCTGACACTGCCTGAGGTAATCTCTCCGATCTTATTAATCCGCATATTTTAATTGCCGGATAATAAACCTCTAGTGATGGCGTATTATTCAAATCCATAAGCTGCTTATTGACCAACTCGGAAATATATTATATGGAGAGGCAGAAGGGAAACTTCCATTGCCAGGTATGTTCGTGTTTAATTTGTTAAACAAATTTACCATTTTTATTTCGTAGTTCTTCTACCTGGCACTGAGATAATATGAGAATAGATGATACAGCAGTAGATACCGGCATTTTATTTTATTCCCCATGTGGAAATTCATAAATATTTTTTTCCACTCATCTATAAATATGTTTCAACCTTTAATAAGATAAATCTTGTTGCTTCATCTCAAAGAATGTTATCCTAATATCAGTCCTTACCTACAATTATTTACCAAAAATCCTATTTGCAACCAGTTCAGTCCTTTGACCAATCTGCTGCATCCATTATGTTTTTAAAAATATTTTTTCTTAAACAACGCAAATGAAGGTCGGTAAGATTTTTTTTACCAGAGGTCTTCTTAGCTACTTTGTAACAAAATTTATTTGTATAAGTTATCCATCTAGAAATAGGAATGAAGAGAGAGAGAGATATATAAAATATGTCAAAATATGTTCCACCATTTTACATGGTTGTTTGAAATAAAGTGGTCTTTTAAGGTGTAAAGGTGGCTTTTGTGCCAAAGTTCCCATTCACCTGGAGGCGGAACTTGTATTTTTTTGTTCAGTTTCTGAATCCATAGAAAACAATTACTCATAATTATTGCCAATAATAGACAGCAAAAAGGCTATGTCAACTAGTAGTTTATGTTTCTTTCTGAGTAATATCAATTGAAATGCCCATTATATCTCATTTAAAGTTTTATATAAGTCTCAATCATTTTTTAATTTACCATCTTTTACGCTTTTGCACTTAGTAGGACTTAAAGTCTCTAGGGTTCGTACAGGACTGTGATAAGGGCTATGTGAAGGGCTCCTAGATGATAAACGGTATCTATTTCCAACATCTAACAAAATTTCTGTTGATCTACCATACAAAAAAGCAAGACCATCATCACTAGGATGTTTTTGAAAAGCTGAATTATGTTCCACGTGGTTTGGATAATACGTCATTAGAAACGAAACCAGTTTTTATGATATTTGGTATCAATGTGTCCTGTTTAAATATCATACTGATATTATATGAGGATTTTACTGAACATCCTTATGTTTGGACCATAAATATTTTATCCACCGAGGTCCATTTAACAGTTACGTGTGAACGGCAAGCGCTGAAGTTTTTTTCCTATTTTCGGAATTTTTTGTTTTCTTTCCAAAACGTGTTCATTTAGAATTTACAGCGCAAAGCAAAACCCATTTTCATTACATCGTTGTATTTTTGTAAGAAGTTGTATGATTGGTTAGCTAGTTCTCTAAATCCCGTAAAACCCTGAACAATTTATTTCAAATAACAGAAGTTTGATATTGCTTATAATACATTTAGTACATGTAAATTTGTTTTCTTGAAAATAGCATCGGGGTAATTGTCAATTATTATTGACTGTCATGTGACCGCGTCTCGGGAAAACTACTAGTCATATAATTGTCTTAGATTGTTGCCGGGAACGTTCTACGTTCGCTATCAGTATAAAAGTGAAGTATATTTCATGTACACGTAGACAGCTCGAAGACTTCGTTTCGATTTAACTTAATAAAGTTTTCTTTTATTTCAGAACCAAACAGCGGCACGTAAGTGTTCACTCGATGTTTAAGCTCACCTGAGCACAGTGTGTTCAAGACGGGATTCGGTCCGTCGTCCGATCAATATCTCTTTCTAACCCGTTGGGCAAATGTTGCTTAAACTAAGCATAGTTAAGTCAAAATTGTCCAAAGTATTCCATTACATGCAGAACTCTGGTTGTAATGGTAACCGAAAGAAAAAACTTTAAAAATCATAATCTCCAAAATCAAAGGTTTATAGTTTAGATATTTGATAGTTTAGGTATGCAATATTGTCTACTACGTCAATTTATAACCTTAACGTCAAAATTGTTCTCGTCCCGGGGCATTCTTTCCTAATTTGTATACAGTAAAAATTAACAACTCTCCATTCGTACGACATGGGGTCATGACCAAGTGACATACTTTTGTATTTTAACCTACAACATATACTGTGAAATTTAGTCTGGATGCACATTTGCAGATTCAAAATGAAACGTTGATATCAGTTTATCTAGTTTTCGATCTAGTGACCTACTTGTATTTAAAACTACATGCATAAAATTTAGACATTTCAGATATAGAGTTGAACTTGGACATAAGGTTGCTTTAAATTAAGAGCCACTACCCTACTTTTTGTAGATAGTGTTAAAGCTTCGAAATTTGGACTATATACACAGTTGACCTAAATTTTGACCCAGTGACCTCCTTTTTTGTATTTTGAACTACCGTCACAGTTTCAGATGCACATTTGAAATTTTATATCATATCAGTTGACCTGCCAGTTTTACACTTTTTAGCATACCTGAGCATTATATGTTTTGAACAGACAATGTTTCTCAGTGAGCGAAATATGGCCTTTTTGACCCTCTTGTTATTTTTATAAGTACCCTTTTTAACATGGTAAATCGCACAACAATAATGCATAATAAAGCCGGATTGATATTAATCTTAATCATGTGAAACTGTTTTTTAGGAAACATTTGAGCTAAAACTGTGTAAATTTATATGTATGTCCTTATGAGATCATCTTCTGAAAATTATAATTTTGAAGTTAAGACGTCAAAAAAAAAAAAAAAAAATACAAATTACAAAAAAAAAAAACAATAACAGATTTAAACAGTAAGTGTTATGTTACGACTTCTAAAGAAGATTTTTTTCTTTTTTTGTATTTTTGAAGGTACATTAAAAGAAACACAGATTTGACTTTGAAGATGCCTACTTCGCCGGAATATGAGAATAATTATCGGTCCGACCAGACAATGTTTACCGACGAGCCCGGATGTCCCGTCACCCCAGACCAACCTTCAAATATTTACGGTAGCAATAATAGATAATACTTTCTATTTTTTTTTTCATTGTATCATTTTGTTTCCTTCAAAAAAAATGTTATAATCATTTTCTTTGACTGCCAATTTTGTTGATGTTTTAGTCCCTCTTGTGAATGATTTGTTTCGGGGAGAGAATCATCAATCCTATGACAAGCGAAACTTGCGCTGCCGGGCCGCCAGAGGAAATATATTTCTAGTACAGAATCGGGCCTAATATGTCTGCTCTTATATAATCGATAGAAGTAGCACGTGCATGCATCATAACAGAGTCTTTATATTTCACACATTAATTGGTCATATATAGTAGATGAAGTAGATGACCACTAATACTTTGGGGGTCACTAGTTCAAAGGTCAAAGTCACAGGGGCCTTAAATGTCTCAGGGGCCTTAAATGTCAGAATGGTTTCTGCTCATTATCTTAATAACTTTTTAACAAAGTCTTCATATTTCATATATTGATTGGTGATATGTAGTAGATGACCTCTATTGATTTTGGGGTCACTAGGTCAAAGTTCAATGTCACAGGTGTCTTAATTATCAGAGTGGTTTCCACTCATTATCTTGGAAATTTTAAATAAAAACAGTCTTCATATTTCACATATTGACTGGTCATCTGTATATTTATTTTAAGGCCACTAGGGTAAAGGTCAAGGTTACAGGGGCCTAGAATGTTAGAACGGTTTCTGCTCATCATCTTTAAAGCCATTTATCACAAAACCTTCATATTTCACATATTGATTGGTCATATTGAGTAGATGACCCCTATTGATTTTGGAGTAACTAGTTGAAAGGTCAAGGTCACAGACAGGGTTCTCAAATGTCAGAATGTCAGAACTATCACAGTCTTTATATTTAACAAATTGATTGATCATACATGTATGTCGTAGATAGCCCTTATTGATTTTCTGGTCACTTGTTCAAAGTTTAAGGTCACAGAGGCTTAAAATGACAGAATGGTAACTGTTCATTATCTTAAAAAGTTGTTTATTACAAAGTCTTAATATTTCACATATTGATTGGCCATATGCAGTAGATGACCACTATTGATTTTTGGGTAACTAGTTTAAAGGTCAAGGCCACAGGGGCCTTAAATGTCAAAATGGTTTCCACTCATTATTTTGAAAACTTTTATCACAAAGTCTTCATATTTAATATATTGATTGGTCATATGTTGAAGAGGACCCCATTGATTTTTGGATCACTAGTTCAAAGGTCAAGGCACAGAGGCCTTTAATGTAAGAATGGTTTTCGCTCATTACATTGTAAACTTTTTATCACAAAGTCTTCATATTTCACATATTGATAAGTCATAATTGGGTCACAAGTTCAAAGGTTAAGGTCTTTATATTTCACATATTGATTGGATATAACTAGTAAGTCATTTTTTTCTTTCCATAACTGAACACTACCACGTACCCATTTATGGTAAATTTCTATAACAAAATTACCAATAGTATGAATCTAGAAATGGCTAGAAATGGGCATATATTCGACATTCCTTGTTATATTTCTTATTACTTATTATGTTTTAATCTCAAATATTGGGGTTTAATAAACAAAAAACTGTATGAGAACTCAACGAAACTAAAAGTTTAAAGATGAAGACATGATTCTATTTGCAGAAAATACCAAATTAAAGACCGGGTAAGTCAGTTTAGTTTCAAGTTTCCGGATTTTCAGTGTACTCATTTCCATATCAATAATCAGATAATTGTTTATGGACATTTTATATGGTCCACCTGTAGAACACACGCTTTTGCATCGAGATAACATGTTGTATACTGTTTATTTCCTTAAGCAGCAAGAAAATGACCCATTTATCCAGTACATAATGTCGGCAGCATTAAGTGGCAGTGAAATCCATATAATTATGGATTCCAGCAAATATGGATTCCAGCAACCTAATGACCAGGGATAAATGCTGTAAAGTCGGTGATTGTGTCATTTGTATGACTTGGACTATAAAATACAATTGCTTTCTCAATAATGTTTATCATATAAACATAAAATGTATAATATCATTTTCGCATAATGATAATTTAGATCAATGTAGATATTAACCACACGGCCATTGCTCACTAATTGTATTTCAGTAGAGGTAAAAAGTGTGAAGGACAGGTGAAGGAAAGTAGAAATAGTATATTAAAAAACAAACAGATGACAAGTATGTGCACGCAGTTATTTCTGTGACTGCTTGAGAACGACATTTTAAGGATTGCAAAACCATAAAGAGCTTGTTTGTAAGCCGGCATAAGAGCGCTTTCTGAAATACTGACGTGGCAATTAAAAAACTGTCTAAAAATGTAAACGAAAAGCGCCGAAAGAAGGCGATAAAAGCATATATATTCCCCGACATTCAACAATGTTTACTTCGATATTTCCCGACATTAGACGATGTTTACCGATTCATTGAGATTCGTAATATTTAATAACTTAATATTGGGAACAAGAACATGTACGCTGTCTTTTAAATTTATTTCGTTTTCATATGTGTTATATACATTTACATAGAGAAAAGACATCGATCATTGTTAAAGTTAACACAACAGGTTTATCTTCATGTTTTATTTACATAAGCTTTCAAAATATTTATGCTATACATTAACCCTTACTCATCTGCAACTGAAAGTAATTTATACTTTGCCACAAGTACAGTCTGACCAGGCTCTATACTTTTAACCTATTTCAATTTTTCATCTTGATATAACTACACTTAACAAATTACCTACTTTAAAAGATACAAATGAAACTATAATTATAATGGAATTTTGTTAATAAACTCTAACATAAATTAACAATGTAAATGTATTTCATTATAGAAATGAGGGTAAAGTTAATGATGTGCCATACGACATTCCTCCTAACAAAGACAAATCCAGGTTAACTCTTTAAGTTCATGTAAATGTGTATGACTAACAAATTCTTATAGTGATAATATCTTACAATAATTGCTTATTAAACCTCAGAATATAAATTTCCTTCCTAAATTGCAAACTCTTTTCCTATATTGATAGCAAAAGTTTATGTAAAGCTTATTGTAATCATTTATTACCCAGAATATTGTCTTAAATGTTTCTATACTGTAATGGTAAAAGCAAATTGTGATGCTTTTAAACCCTAATGATATAAAGCTTTTTGGATATTTCGTATGGAAAATATGAGTGTATCCTATAGAAAAAAAATGATTTTTGTATTCCAAAATAAATTTTATTCTAGATTTACCCCATATGATACTCCTCGATCAAATCAAGGTTTGTACCAAAATCCTTTGTCAAAAAGCCAACATTACGATGTTCCTCAGCAACCAAAAGGAGAAAAGTGCAATGAACAATCAAACAATTATCTGTACGACATTCCAAGGTCTAAAAAGAATATTTATCAACTTCCTAAACCCATTAAGGACGTGCACAAGTCAAACAAGATACCGAGTTATGGAAACTCTAAGTTTGACCGTGGTCATGAAGGAAAGGAACTTTACGACAATCCTACGTCACATGGTACAAGCATAAGAGGAGATGTCAGGTTCATATATGTGTAGTCGTTATAAACAATTTTTAAATTCATGAAAAATAGATAAGCTTACAATAGCCAAATTCAATATACATAAATGAAATACCGGTATATCTACTTAGAATAAATTCAAGGAAAAGTCAATTCACATTTAAATTTGTTTGTAATTCCTAGCCCCAACCCAAGAGTCAGGTTCCGGGGTTGCAAATTACTGGTGCCTTGAAACTATAAAACTACAATACGTTAAACAAAAACAGAGCTAGAATACCTTTTCGTAAATTGGATTGTACTAAAATAGCATGTACTTAGTATGTGGCATTAGAATATTTATACTGGTTTGTTTTACACTGGCGTTATATTGTGTTTTACACTTGCGTTGTATTGAATTTATTAACGACAAGACATATTTTCAGTATGAGGCTTTTCTTGTAAAGAACATATAAAGAAAAAAATAACAACGCTTCAGCTTTATATGTATTAGAATACATGATTTGCTTGCAATTAGACTAATAAAATAGCTAAATCTATTGTTCTTGTGTTGCTTACGTAGCTTGCTAGCTTTATCATTAGCTGATAGAAATATAAACTTATCACTTAACATTAAGTAAATTAAACGGTTAGCTTGATAGATAAAAGATCGATTTATGTGTTAACATTTCATCATATTATTGAATATCTTGTTTAATTCACCCAACAAATTTACAAAAATTTAAACAATTCTTTACTTTATTTATTATATTCTAATTTTATTCGACATCGTAGGTTTTTGTTTACTAGATTTATTTGCATGTAGTACCTCATCAGAATTTATTTTAATTACATGTTTCTGTAAAAATTATTCGTAGTGTTTGTTGATTTTTTCATGCATTTTTTTATAATTTCATGCCCTTGTCTCATTTTAGTGACAATGTGGACTCCATTCCTTCGTATTTAGATTTGAATAATCCAAACACAAATTTAGTGGAGGAAGCCTATGTGGATGTTACCAATCCCAAAGGCAAACCAAGACTTAACAAACAAGGAACAAGTATTGACGATGATTATCTTGATATGAATGAAGTTAATAAGATAAAAGAGTCACCATATGTTAATGCTAAACGTGCAAGCAAACCTTCCGAACATTTAGATAATGGATGTAATAAAGATGAAAAGGATTATCAAAATGTGGAGCATTATAAGAAGAGTAAAGGTCCGCCTGCTGTTGCCAAGAACAAGAAACCAAATAAAAAGGCGAATAAAGAAGTTAATGAAAGAATTGCAGATACTGAAGAAGAATCCAAAGACTACCAGAATATTGAAAAATATAAACAAATTCCTAAACAACCTAGGTAATAACTTTGTGGCATTTATTTCATTTCTAAAATTTATAAAAAAAAGCGGAAGATCCGATAAAGCAAGTGAGTTCGTTTCGAAATGAAATACTGTAAAAACTATATAAATTACAATAATAATTTTAATATCAGTGCCAAAATGTGTATTAACTGTTAAAGGTATATCATTCATTAATTATGATAAATATTTTCTGTAATGTCAAAATGTCATTTCGAACAATTGCTCAACATTTATACGAACTTAAAAAAAGTTTTTGAATTCCGGTCATGAATTTGATTCTTAATTATTGGTGACCGAAGTATTTTATAATTACATATATAAGTATGCATATCAAGTTATTGTAATTACAACATATATTAAGTATTTTTTGTTTTTGTTTTTATAGTCTTGAATCGAACGAGCTGTATATGACAATGTCAACAGAATCAAAAAGGGAAAGTGGTAACGTATTTGACTTTGCTTTCTCGAAAACTGTGACATGATGAAACTGTATTTTGTTATATTATCTCCTGTTTCATTTTTATGTTTTTTCTCTGTTGTTGTTGCTCTTGTTTTACAATATACATCTCATATAGATCCTGTAACACATTTTTTTCATGGTTTTATTTCATAAATATGATGCTCAAATTAAGATTTGTCAATATTGTAAGTTCCAATAAGCATTATTTATAAAGATATTACAACATACAGGATCTTTAAACTTGTAATATAGCATAAAATGCAATAAATACCTTTACTAAAAATTTCATTAGGAAGGGGATATCGGCCAGTGTATGCATACTGCTGTACGACAATTGCATAATTATTGCTTTGTCTGCATTTAGTTTATTTCCTCTGCTTGCAACTTTTGCAACTCGATGTATGTAAATAATACATTTCAGTGTAAAAGGAAAATGCATATTCAGTTGTAAATAGATTGTGTATAACCATGAAACGTTGATGCTTATAAGTTCTTATTACGTTGACGAGGTTTTTGTGACTATATATCGTTTAAGTACACACAAGAGCTTTTAAATATCTATTATTTCCTTTCGGTAATTTTGACTTTCAATGTTTATTTCAGAAGATTTTTAAATCACGATTCAACCAAGAATTATTTTTTTTGCACGCAGTTATGTGTCATGTTTATTAATGTATTAAAGCTAATTTTCATATTTACTTTAAAAATCACAGTTAACACAAAGCAGTAGCAAACATGAAACTAACCGAATGTATCTGTAATATGTTATTCATATAACGCTGGGAACCATTTTTTTTGGCAGCTTCTGTAAATAAGTAAATTATGCACGGTATATTGACAAAAATACCAGGCAAACTAGTGCAATACATGTTTATAAAAAATGTTTTAACAATTACTCATACAAAAGACACGCAAATTGCAAATTTTAATCATATATCGTATTACATATGTACAAAGATAAAATCTTGTAATAGAAAAAAGTAAGCACTCGTGAAATATTTATTTTAATACCACTCGATAAAAATAAATTATGTATTTTTAGAAAAAAAAACAAACTTGAATATCTTTTATTTATTTGATTTGTCGGAAGTGCCAGAGACTTCTATTACAGAGGTAATATAATTCTCAATGGAAGGGCATATATATTTTCTCTGTTTATCGAACTGGTTAACACTTTCACTATCAATTTAACTGGTCAGCACATTCTGCTTTACGTATAACTGGTCAGCAGTTTCTTGCGTTAAATCTGATGAGAAGAAATTACGGTAATAATCACCTAAGCAATTTCACGTCAGCAGTGGCTTTATTGTTTTGCACGAGATAAAATTTACTAACATTGCAAAATATATAAAAATTTCACGGCAATTTTCATTTTCCTCTATACATCAGCAGTTTCTCAGTATCGAGCTTAAAATCCAGTTTGCTATATTAAATGCTGTGGCTTGCTCTTTACTTGGGAAAGAGCATTGACCTGAGTGATGGGTGCCTCTACAGAAACCACGGATGTGAGGGTGTGGACACTTGGAGTCTCTACACACTCCTCTTTTGTTGAATGACCAGCAGGTATTGTCAAGGTATTTTGATTGACGTCTATAGTTTGTAGGTCTGAAAAACCTGCCGGACCCTGTTCGAAAGGGACGATGGGATTTAGGGAAGTGGTTATTCATTGACGGAGGTGGGGTAGTGGCCATGACCCAGAATTCGGTATGAAGTCTATCCCTTGCATGTTCCCTTGACAGCCTAAATTGATTGTCATAGAAGGACCATGTCATGCCTGGGCGACGGTGTGCGAGGTCTCTTACTATTTCCCCATATTTCATAAGTTGGGGAGTTTCATAAGGATAGTATAGGAGGAGTATATCGCCACAAACCTTAAAAAGGCGGTGGTCCATGTGTCAATATTGACTATTTTCTTTGAGTGGTGGGCTGGTGCCAGATTTAACTGATCTTTTGCATTTAATAAAAACGCAAAGGTTAAAGTTTGACCTGCTGCCTGAGGTAGGAGTGTTGCGAAATCTACATATTTGTTATTTCTAATCTTTTTTGAAAAATATTTTGAAATGGAATAAGATATTGGAGTGGAAATAGGCTCCATAAACATGACTTAGTGACTACCTGCCAAGAGACGTGAGTGTTCATGTATCACATCAGAAATTGGATCTAGATTACTATCTGAATTTGAAGATTCTCCTACCAGTTGTTCAACAACCGAAATGTCACTATCGGAGCTGTCCTCTTGTGGGATAGGTACCTGAGGCATGGTAGGAGTTGTTTGTGTTGTTATTCTCTTTCTCTCTCTGGCGTGGGTTCGATCCCCGGGAGATGCTTTGGTAGTTTAGCGCGGAGGAAGGTAGTCTAGTACTGGTGTAACTCTCCAGGAACGATGGTTAGGAAACTACCCGCCTATATGACTGAAATACTGTTGGGGAAAGGCGTAAAATGAAACAAACAAACAAGCATTTGGTAAATACACGGGCAAGTTATAACTGTTTCACCGTAAAAACGAAGGTCATTTTTTATTCCACAGTTATCTTCCGTGTATAATAATTTGCACTAGAAACATAAATTCTTTACTGGTTGCCTACGAAGTTTACATTACATTGTGCTTTTAACAACGACTGGACGATTATAATTAGTTAATGCATCATGTTTAAATACCTCTTTTCCTGAAGTTTAAACATATTTTTCTATCGTTCATGTTCGTGTTCTGGAATATTCAATTTAAACAACAGTCATGTGACAGCAAGAATAAAAATGCCATACATACAAATTTAGAAACATTAAAGACTTAAGTAGTATTTAACTACTTGTCACATTCAAAAGCAACAAAGTCAAACGAATTTACAAATACCTAACTTTAGGACAATAATTTTACAGATAAACATTTCAAGATCACAAAGGTGCAAAAAAGTGAAACCACGAACTCTTAATGTTCAAATAAGAGTTAGTCGAATATGGGAATGAATTGTTATAACACGAAAAATAAAGTTCTTATAAATAGAATATAAAATTTTATGCAACTTAATGAAGTTGTCAATAAGTAGGAGGCATATGAAAGTAAATTACATAAAATTGTAAATTAGGAGTAGACATACAATGGCGGATACCACCTTCCATATTTTTATGAATATACTAGTATTTTTTACAGCAGAAGTTCTAAACATACTGCATATCTAATTAACCTTTTTATTTTTTAAATTATTGTAGTGTTTGATTATCATAAATTTGTATAATATATTTTCAGCGATTTCTCTGCCAGGTTTCCATGCTCCGCCTCCCCCTACCGTTCTTGAAGAGGAATATATGAATATACAAATAGGGAAAGGAAAGTAATATGAAGACAAATTCTTATTTCCCGAACGACAATATTAATAAACAGATACTTAGTTTGTGAATATTTAGAGTCAGCTAACTTTTGACTTTATTGCATTAACCGCTGCTCGAAAACTATATACGTCATTTTCGGGATAAATATTAAGTGTCTTCTCCTTATAGTAAAAAAAAGTTGACGTAAAATAAGAGAACATGAAAAACTGCAATAAATGTGAAGAACAAAGAGGAATGAATATGATTCACTTAGCGTTATGTATCATATGAAACTGGTGCTTTTAATCAAATGCAATTTTTACATTGAGCAAATGAGATATTACAAGGAGTGACAATTGTGTTTAAATATATGTTTCGAAAAAGAAAAAGTCGGTAACTGTTTTGAAACGTTTTGAAGTCCTTTATGCGATGATAAAGTCGCCGAAAAAAATCTCGTCTGAGCCTTAACTCAATGTGAAGCAAAAAGTTGGACAATCAAAAGGAAGGTGGACTCTGTGCTACGACTGTTGGTTTCTTCTATAGAATAAGAACGGCCAAATAAACTCCCTCAAATCAACCTCTTGGCTTGATGAGATTAAAACAATTCAAATTTTCTATTGGTTAGAACCAAGACGGCGAATAACAGAAGCTATTCGTTAGGAAAAGGATAGACAGTAACAACTTTATGTCATTAATAGTATAGAAACCAAACGAACGATGTGATATATGAATTGAATGATAGTAAATGAATGTTAATCACTTTATACACTGTATATTTCTCTTACATATATTCTAAATCTGTATCACTTTTATCTCATAAGCATAAATTTATTCTTTCAATTATATTTTTATAAAAATAGATTTGTGGTATTTTTTTATTTAATCACTAAACTCATAATGAAGCATGTCTAAAACATGTTTTGAAATAAAAAAAAAACTTATATCAGAGTTTGTTCAAATTATACAGACTCTGGCCAAACTATATGACTATAGATGAATTAGAATATATATAAGAGTGTAATGAGAAAAATGTTCACAGAACGCAGCCTCTGACACGCACCTATGGAAACGTTAATTGGGCACCTGAAAGTTGATACTTACCTGTGTTGTTATATGTATTTTGTCCACTTTATCACCATATCTCGTGAAAATATAAGACTGCTTGATGCATTGATGTTTCAGTTTTATAACAGAAGTTTTTTTCTCTTCAATACTATTCTTTAAGACATGTCGATATATCGGAACTGGTTTTGACGAGAATAAGTTAATTGGGTACCTGAAAGTTAACATATATCTGTGTTATTGTATGTAGTTTTGCCCACTTTATCACGGAATCTCGTGAAAATATAAGACTACTTGATGCATTTATACCATATATTTTTTCTGTTATATCGACATGCCATAAAGAATATTATTGTTACTTACATTATAACGGCATTCCGCAAAAACATATGTTGCCAAAGCCTAAACATGTCGCAAGGAGGCGATTCTTTTTCTACTCTTAACCAGTTCCGTTATATCGACAAGCAATAAAGAATAGTATTGCGGGGGGAAAAACTTCTGGTATAAAACTGAAACACAAATGCATCAAGTAGTCATATATTTTTACGAGATACCGTGATAAAATGGACAATACTACATACAATAACACAGGTAGGTATCAACTTTCAGGTGCCCAATGAACGTTTCCATACGCACCCCTAAAAAACCACCACCACCAACAACAACAAAACAGCCCCAAAAACTAGAAAGCTACCAAGTGTGGCAACAAATAGAAACTTGTGAAAGCGGGGACATTTTTGACACTGCACGTATGTGCAGTCAGAAATGGGTCGATATTGACCGTCTTGAAACAACTGATCATATGCTATATGCTCTTTGACAACGACGTGTAAAATTCTACATTGTATCATGAGTGGAAATCAATGTGTACATATTGTGGAAATTGTGGTAAAATCAATAAAATCTCAATGAAAATCTAATAGAACTGACAATAATTTTGAAAAAAGACAAACAATAGTGATCTTTAAGAACACAATGTAATTGGGTATAAAGTGACTTTAACGAGCATGATATTATATAGCTTAAGGTCTTCAGCGTACCCGTTTATATACTATGACATGACGTGAACGCTGAAGATAACCCCGTAGGGAAAGTCCACCAATAATCGTGCCAGGAATCTGACACGCTCGTATTTATTCATCGAACATGCCATGAAGTAAAGTAAAGTATACCTTGATAAAACTATATATAATCTGTTGATAAGCCAAGGATGGACAAATTAAAATCTTATTAGGAACATAAACTACCTAATAGTTTCCGACAGGTAAAAATTTCGGCACTTGGCCGCCATATTGCCAAAATGTTTGACCAGTGATTACGAGATTGACCTTTATGAACCCATGTGCCTCCAATATTTTTATACATTACTTTTTTTAAAGATATTGAAAAATGTGATTTACTGACTTTTATATTCAATAAAATCATATTTAAGTACTGAAAAATTTATGAAAATAAATAAAAACATTATCTTGAATAAAAATATTGAAATCATGTCAACAAAATGTTCTAAATATAGTACACGACTCTATTAAAATCTGTTCCCGCGAATGACGTCACACGAGGTCTCGCGTGGCACCTGAATGTCATGGCCGACTGTAGTCGGCGTAAATTGATGTTTTACAGTTAAATAGGCAATTTTAATGACGGTATTAATATTTTGATACTTTAATTGGTATAGAATGATATTTAAATAATTGTTTTATCGTAAAATGCACAAGAATTGATTCGGTCAAGTGTATTTGCAAGTGAAAAACAAGAATAAATCAACTACTGTTATTCTGGTAAGGTTTCGTAACGGGTCTAATCCAAAACTTTAATGCCGCATCAGATGAAAAACAAAAATGTTAAAGAGCGGCTTATAAAGTTTTGGAGGCCAGAACTAGATATTATAATTAAATGCACATCACTGGCCAGAGTGGTAAAACTGAAAACTAAATGCACAAATAAATATACAATAGCTGAGCGGTTAGTATCTTTTAGTGGCTTTGTAATATAATGTTAATAATTAAGTGTTTGTTATTGGGCTGAAGACTGTCATATTAGCCTGAGGTCGAAGATTAATATGACAGTCTAAAGCCCAATAACAAGGCCATTATGAAAACACTTAATTATTGACAATTTAATTAATTAACTATACATAAGCCAAAAAAGTTACTTACTTAGTGAATAAAAAATAACTTATGTGAAATTCTGTTGTTGTGAGGTATTGGAAGTGAGATTCATGTTTTTAGAATGTCTCGGAATCCTACCTTATAGCAATTCAAAATGGCGACTTTTTTCAAGCAGATTCATGATGGTCGAGCTGGGGAGCCAATCAAAATTCTCAAATCTCATAATAGCTGAGTTTTCTCATAAAGGTCGTGCTTTTTGCACAATGGCCTTATTTTATGTTCATAATACCGTGCTGAACTTCATATTAGCCTTACATTTGAAATAAAAACGTGTCTAATATTGAAAAGTTAATTAATAATGTTTTCTAAAACATGATAAAGTACATAAATTATAGGTTTCATGCGATAAATATTAACTGAGTTAAAAAGTGTTGTTTTGGTAAAAACAACAAAAGGGCATGCATGCAAGATAGTTCAAAATCGCCAACCGGGTTTGTAAATACTATGCAAAACTATTTATTCTAACACGACCCGCATTTTTCCCCATTGTACATAGAAGAAACGAAAGTGTGTGTTATTATGCAATAAAATCACAGTTTGACGTTCTATATTTAGACATGTGACGTAATCATTATACACGTGACGTAACCACTATAATGTGACGCGCTGAAAATAAGTACGGAAACAAATCAGGCGCAATTTAGGTTAATGTCAGGTTTGGCAGCATTTATGTGTTATTGTCGTGTTAGAATCGAAATAACATATCCAAATCGGTGATTTTATCGCTTGATAACATCACTGTTTGTCGTTCGGATGCGCATCATTATATCACTCGGGCTACGCCCTCGTGATATAATTCCTCGCATCCGAACTCCAAACAGTGACGTTATTGAGCGATAAAATCACAGTTTGGGATATATTATTTCTTAATCACACGGTAACTATCAGAGTCATTTTATTGACCTGTCAATTATGAATAGAATATAGCACTCATTTAAAAATTCCATCCCACTTCGGTTATGTCCATGTAGTTTGCGAGAAGTAATAAGTATATCACACTAGGTTAGTGAATAGGTCGTCTTCATATCTGCAAAAGAACAGTTGGTTAGTGGTTGGCTAACATATGGGAGATCTCTGTTTCGATACCTACTGTTGTCATTGTTTACTCTTTCTTTACTATTGCAGTACATTTAATGAAAATTGCCAAGTGCTTGCAAAATTGTCTATACGGATAAGAAACAACTTAGAAACAGTTTTCTCTCGTTTGTATTGTATTTAACGACATTAAAATAACATATATTGATTTTAACCCAAATGAATTTAAATATTGATTTTTGAACACGTAGGTCATTTGGAAATTGTAAACCCGTAGTTTATTTTATTGCACCTAGTATAATTATTTGGGACAAAAATTAAATTTAATCACAACTTTCTACGTACATCTTACGAAACTTACCGAAAGGTTATCGAAAATTGATAATATTGGGAGCATTGACCGTATAATCATCAATATACAAAAAATAAACAATTCGAATTGTACATTGTTCATGGTTTGAGCATAAAATTATTCGATCACACTTTCTTAATGATTCTAACACATGGCTCAGAAATTTTTGGCTTCGAAAACTTAGATATGTTAGAATCAGTTCATAACAATTTTTTCCGCAAACTATTAAACGCCTGTAGAAGTACACCTATTTATATATTACACGGTGAATTGGGAAGGTATCCTATCTCAGTTGTAGTTAAAAGCTATAGAGGCTATTCGTTGCCAAAAATCCAGCCTTTGAAACTTGACAATGCATACTTCGGTTCTACTAAACAGATTAGTAAAAATATAATTGTCGATCCGAGAGTTACATACTGCACTGGTATTAAGCATTTTGATTATCTCGATTTGATAAAATGAAAGCTGTTAACATGCAACTTAGATAAATTGCAAACTGTATTTATAAATGTATAATTTCAAATTTGCGACATGTAGAAATGTAAACGATAGAACGTACACAATACGTTTAATGCTGTGCATCATGACGTTGAGAATGTAACTGCATCAACTTGACACACTCAGGTTTACAACACCACACTTTCCTGTTACATTCTAACGCGATTAACATTTGTAAACGATTTTGCAACTTCCATATATGGAATTATCACGGAAATAGACGAAAATTAATAGGCGGAGCCAATTTCACGAAAGCAGAATATAAAGAGAGGTAACTCTTGCTGGTACAAACATATTTCAAATTATATAGAAACTGTTACATCAATCTTGACTTTGAACATCCTCTGATTTTGTTAAAACGTATTCTAGTACAGGATATTCAAGTAATGCAAAATTGGTTTAGATATAATGTAAAAATGTAACAACGTATATACTGATAATGAGCATAATAATATGCAAAAACTAAAGTTGGTGAAATAACATAAGGAAATGTTTCCCATATATAATGACACACATCACAAATCATTGATATCAATGATAGGGTTTTGTGAGCCACGGCAATACACTTAAGCATATTTTTTTTTACCTTCAGCAAATAGTACTAGAATGCGATACATGGAAGGCACTTTTGGCAACACGAATAAAGAGAACTGAACAATAAGCCTGTGCCTTCTTTCTTTAAAGGACGATGTTGGATTGTAGAAAAACTCATATTTTTGACAAAGTGTATAACCACGAAACAATTCAAAGTTTACTATCGATAATTCCTTTGTATAACCAAAACTTGTGAATTTGTCCCATTTTAATGTTGAAATAAATATTCAGTGTATCCTGGCAACTCTGTTTACTTCCATTGGGAGGTATTTTGAGTCATAGGATGTGATTTAGCCTTTTATTGTTAAATATATGTAAGCTGGCGTAGGTTAAGGTCTTTTCATGCATTGTGCTGAATCAATAGCACCTCTAAAATATGTGTATACATGCTGTCATTAGCTGTTACCTAGATTTGCTGTCTAGATTTGCTGTCTATATGATCAAAAACAGAGAACTACTTTTATGTACATGAAATACTACACAGAATATTTATTAAGTTTTGTAAGTGATGGCTTTCTAAGAGATAAAATAAACAAGGTATACATAAATTGATAATCAACATACATACATTTGGACTCATTTAAATTTTACTTATTGAAAAACAAAATGGGAAAAATGGGAAAATATATGGTAAAAATAAAAAGTTATGTACGAAAGGGTACATACAACTTTGGTTATAATTTTACTATTGTTAAAAGTTTTTTTCTTGTCAAGTCATGCGCTAGAATTAAGGCTACTAATATAATAGTACTACTAGGAAAGACAACAGCCAGAATTTGGTCTGTATTAGTAATTAGTCGTATCAAAATCTCTATCAGATGTTGACTTGATAATTTGAAAGTGGTAAGGTAGCAGCTTATCTGTAAATGTTACTCATTCCTATGCAAATTGGAATACCATCAGTAAAATTTATTTGTCGTTGAATATAGTCTTTTCAATAGTTTTCACTTCCTTGAAAAATATTTAACCTCAGACAGTATGTAACCTGGTGTTTTTGGGCGTTTTTTAAGTTTCCTTTCCCAGGAAATGTGGTGTCTACGACGTTTTAAAACTTATATGCCTATATTCCTTTAAAGTCCGCTGATGTTGATTGTAGGCAATCATGCAAGTGAATTATGTTTATAGTAACTAAACACCTAAAAGGTATGATAAACGGAAACTACGTCGCTTCTTGTCACCGACGGTAAATACCGAAAATGAGCGGAAGATACGTTTATTTACGATGATTTAGTGGGCGGGCAAATGGGCGGAGCTTATTTTATCTGTGTAAAGCTGGATTATGTTGATCTGAATCATGATGGTCCGACAATGTAAAGCTAAGAATGTAACTTCTGTTTTGAGTATTCGAACACTTGGTATTGCTACTATCAGTACTTTAATGTTTTGTCGTTTAACAAAATGTATTTTGTTGAAATGCATGTTTACAATGTTAAATCGGCAAACTCAATCCAAGTATGCAACATTGGAGTTTACATACAAAGAAATACAATTGTATTTGTTCCATTAACAAACTGTTCAACTCAGATCAACAAGGCTTGATTTTTGGCAACGAATAGCCTCCATAAAAAGCAGGATGATAGGATTTTGGACACGCTTACTATCTGGTGACCATAACAAGTTATTGTTTAAACTTTATACATATATTGTCAATCGTCAAACCACAACTTTTAAATGGACCTCGTACGTTAAGAGAATACTTGATTTAGCTTGCCGTTCATACCTGTGGTTAAATCAATTTTATACAAATATACCGTTAAATACACGTGCGCTAGAAAAACACACGTTAATATATCAGTACAAGCAACAATGGTACGGGAATTTGCGATCTTCTAATAAAAGCATAATATATAATTCATTTAAATCCACATTAGAATTTGAATCATATTTTAACTTATTGCCGCATAGTGACGCATTAAATTTGTTTAAATTTCGGTCTTCTAATAATAATTTTCCAGTTGAAACCGGCAGGTGGGACGGAACAGTATTCAATGACAGAAAGTGCACACTTTGAGACCTAGATGATTTAGGCACCGAAAAACATTATTTATTCATAACGGTCAATTCTTACCAATAAGTTAAATTCTGCAGTTTTAAACACTGAGAGTTGTTCTAATAGTTTGTTGAATATGAAATCACCTGACAAATTAAAGCATTTGTCTATTTTTTTGTAAAACCTTAATGGCCAAATTTAAGTACATGTAATTATATGAATATAATTACATTTCACATATTTTTGTTTGTTTTTATACAGTAACTACCTATACTGATTATGTACATTTGTACTACTTTCAAATTTTATTTCGGTTTCCCCCATTGTATTACTTATACACCTTTGTCAAACTTAAATCTTTTATTATTATTATTATTATTATTATTATTATTATTATTATTATTATTATTACTATTATTATTTTCCTCATACTGTACTTATGTACCTGAGAGAATAAAGAGTATGTTCTGTTCTATTCTGATTATGATAATACAAAAACAACAAAAAAAAACAACAACAAAAAACAACTAAAGAAAAAACAACAACAACAAAACAAGATTAATGAACAGCTTTTGGAAATTTCAAGTTGTAAAATTTCTCATTATTTATTACCCCTTTTATAAATTTGATCTTAAAGAATATTTCATATTATTTTTTTTCTGAAGATCTTCAAGAGTAAAAATCCTACAAAGGACCAAACGTTATATAGAATGACTTTAGTTTCTGCATATATAAACATTTGAAAACATTAAAACAGAAAACACGTTTACTTATACATAAAATCCTTGCCTGGTTTTACAATACATATTGAGCAAACTAATCGCTAAGTAAATTCAGTTTGAAAGAGATTTTAAAGACGGGATTACAGCCTTAACCTCAATTTAACAGTCATTTCAACCGATGATTACTGTGTTACTCGGATATAGAATTTGCCATGTTTACATTTAGTCGGTGTATTTGAAGCCAGATTTTCATTTACTTCTATTATGTAAAGTTTAAAATCAATCAAAGTATGCGTTTATTGATAACGTGAAATAGAAATTTGGTGATCGATTTTAACAGATTGGTTTTATTTGGTATAAACGAACCAAAGTAAAGTTTATTTCAACATTAAAATAATATATTCATTCATAAACGGATTGATAGAATTTTGTGACTGATAATGGCTTAATTGGACAAGAATATGGTAATTACTTTTGCTATCTATTTCCCTTATTAAACTTTATTGTTTCTATGTGTGTTTTCTTCTGATTTCTACAATAACCAACATGTATTTATCTAGATATCGGAAGTTAGACATTGGAGTAGGAGGAGACGTATTTACGAACGTTATATGTGCTATTCCGGACATAGCAGGGTCCTCATTGGCCTTACTATGTTCAGGTTCACATAATGTAGTTACTTCCTTCCCGCCGGAATTAGTTCATAACCTGCAATCGACAGGCGTGGCGTTCAATTCATTCTTCAATAACAGGAAACTATCCAACTAAGGTTCCCGATTGTAACTGTAAGGATGCATAGATCTGGGCTAATAAAGCTTTAGATCATCGCTATTACTAAATATCGGTATGTTTCTATAGTATATCACTGATATACGTAAATATATCACTTCTGACATGTCAAGCACAGAATAATGCATGAAAGACAAGCGATTTTATAGGCAGGTAGGGTTTGGGATAATTATTTGGCTCTAGTCGGTCCAGTTTCGCGCATATGGTAAAGGTTCGACTAGAGTAACTTCGTTATGTCATTTTAGTCTAACCATGTAAGCTTTTGCATTGCCTAGACGAAGTACTGTGACTATAGATATCACCTGAACCCTGTCATAGAAATACACATGATGTATAGTCATCTTTACTGACCGACTGATTTAATGTAATCAATATAATGATATAGCAGTTATCTTTTTAAAGCATATTTTCTGTTACAACATTGTGTTTTCATTTAAGGCTAACAAAAAGTTTACAGACGAACAACTACAAGGTAAGTATTGCATTGTCTTTACCATAATTCTGCAGTGAATTTAAAATAGTTGTGACAAAATTGAACGGTCATTTTGAGAACAAAACTATTATAAGCATGGATTATGTTAAGAATATTATACTAATATTTGGAAAAGGGACATACAAAAAGTATCGAAATTACGAACCTATGTTACTCTTAAGGACAATTTTAAAGCATAAAAAATATGTACAGTTAAATTTAGATAAAATGTGGCATTCTCCCGTTGAGGATGGAAACTGAGCGTTATATCAGTAAAAAAAGCAGAGCAGAGCATTTGTTTGTTTTGTAAAGATAATAAAATAGAAGATGAAATGCACTTTTAAGCACAATGTCCCTTTTACAATAATATCAGAGTAGACATTTTTAGAGAACAATTATTGAATACAGATTTTCTGAACATGAATGTTCACGATGATATCAAAATGAAATATCTTGTTGTAACCTTTCCACGAAAAGTAGCTAAATATCTTGTTAATGCTTATCTTAAAAGAAAGAAATCACTGTTCAATCGTTAAAATATTTTTGTTTAGAACATAAGTCTAAAGCTTTTTCTCCGAACAAAAACAAAATTTTAATGTAAATTCAAGTCAATATAGATATGTACATTGTTTTGTAGCATACACGACTATTTATACTACAATATTGGTGATGTATATAGTATAATTTTAATTTCAAGTGAACTATATATGTAGATTGTCATACACATGTCAGTATATTAAAATATTTACTTACTTGTTATTAAATAGCAAACAATGTGTTTCATACTTTTATAAGACAATGTAATGTTATATCGAGTAGGCCGAGTACAGTTTTGGGTGTTTAATTCGTAGCAAGTTGTTTTAGTGAACACAATTTATATAAAACTTATTTTAATGTTACCGTTGACAAAGATAGAGATATGAAGTAAGATCTTAACGAGACCATTCTGCATGTTTTACCAGAATCTATACCCTTCTCACTGCTCAGTTTTTAGAAACCCGCAGTGTATATCAGGAAAACTGGATATGTTCAAGTACATATTTAAAGAGATAAGGGTTAAATAAGAGTTAACATCAGTTTAAAACGAAGAGAAAATTTGTTTATGTTTAAGATTTTACGCGTTAAGTTACTGGTGAGATGTTTTATTTCTCTAGTGTGTCGTTCGGGAAAGGCTACCGTGTATTTTACTTGTCAATTATCTTATATTTTCATATAACAACAGAATTTAAAGAAGCGTTCCATTTATTTGACAAAGATGGGGACAATACAATCACTACGCCTGAACTGCTGACTGTGATGAAATCTTTAGGTCACAATCCAAGTCGTGATGATATTATTGAGATGATCAAAGAAGTAGATAGTAACGGTTCGTGCATGTATGTCTCCAGTTTAATGTACAAGTTAGATGTGCAGTGCCCCTTAAAGTCTCACGGATGCATAAAATCCACTCACGGATGAACAAACTCCATTCACTGATGAATAAAGTCCACCACAACCTTAAAATCATAATACTGTAACTGTTCAGTTCTTGCTCCTTAATACAGAAAACTGGAAACCATTCATTCGAGCATTTTCATTCTCGTTAAACTAATATTTTGATCATAATGTCATCAAGATGAATTTATGATAATTCAGTGTTTAGTTGAGATTGAAATAGGTTATTTTGTATCGTAGGAAAACATATTTCAATGTCAATAACACTTTTAGAATGATTTTGTCTTTTTCCTTCTTTATAATTATAATACTTATGATACAAAAGCTCCTACAGGCATTTGCTTTTTTTTAGTATCGCAAATATTACTTCGTTACATATGTCCTTTTCACTGCCTGCATATTTAAAACAGAGTACTTGTCATTTCTGTTTTGAATCAAAGTAAGTTACATTTTAAAAAATTGAAACAAAGACATCTGTTTAATAACTATTAGGCATATAAGTATTTACTAAGTTTTATTGTGGTGAGTCATCCCTTATTTTAAAATATACAATAAAGTTTCATATTCTTTAACTGCAATAAAGATTGTCGCGATTTATAGTATATAAATTTAAACGTACATGAGTAAATGAAGTTAGTTGATTATTAAATTATAAGAACATGTTCCTTACTTTTCTGATAACGTTTTAAAGAAAACTGATATCCAGCTTTCGAAGCTTTTTATAATTTATGAAAATAAATCTAACTTTTGGTAAACAAAATGATTAATTTTAATACTTTTATATAAAATCAAAATTTTACTTAATTAATCATAATTCTTTTTATCAAAACACAACACAGTCTTTAATTATTTTACAACTTATTATCACTTTTTATCTTGTATAGGTAATGGGAAAATTGAGTTTTCAGAGTTTCTGACGTTAATGGAAAAGAACATGAGTTCGTTTGAGTCAGAAGATTTGATAAAGGGCGCATTTAGTGTGATAGATCCGCATGGAGAAGGCTATATTACATTGCAAGGTCTACGCCAGGTAATGTCATAAATATGTGTAAAATATTACAAAATCAAAATGAGTTAATTATATAACGTTTCTAATCGTGAACTTTAGTTCATGTCTCAAACTATGTATCCGTTATACCAACCATCAAACGGTAAAATATATATTATAATCTGACCTTTAAATCAAGTATATTCATGCTTTCTCAAAATGATTTGTTAACCACTTGTCAGAAAATATATGTAATTTCAAATTATCCGCGTTACAACGTATAACGGATAATTGTTGTCTTGTCCTTACCGTGGTAATAAAACTGGATTGGTCAGTTTTTTGCTTGACTGCGTCGGAGTATACATTGTCACAGGGCGTGACTAGTAATCAGTTTCTACCGAGTATCTCACATAGAACAGCCATTATCATTTTCAAATTCAAATTCAGCCTTTCGAAATATTGATGACTTTGTAATAGCATCATGAATATGGTTCTTTAAGCATTATTTGTTGATCTTCGTAAAACTTGTATGCATGTTGCAAAACTACAACAGGTATACTTTGCAGTGATATATATCCAGGGGTTGATGAAGGCGACTTTATGACCGGACAGAGCATGGGTCCTACGTCCCTGCTGGTTTGTTGTATTTTTATACAATATGTAATTCTTCCAGAAGGGTTGCGCAGCCCATTCGCGGTTAACCTGGTTTGTCTGCATATTGTGATTGTCTGGCACATGTTTTTTCATGATTGTAACTATGGAATTTTTGTCAAAATGTTTTGATTTAGTTTGTTAAAATCCGAACGATTGTTAGATATAATGGAGCACTTACAAGTATTTGTTAATACATCATAAATTATATATACATGTTTATGTTTGTAGCATGCATATAATTTGCTTATGTCAGCCTTCTCCATGCTGTTTCTCTCAATAATCAATTCTCGAAATGTACAACTGTCTTGTTGTTTTATGATAAGGTAGAGATGAGACTTCATGTAATATATAGTCAGGATAGAGAAGGTAGACTGTATGACAACATGTCCGTTAAAATTGCACACTTGCCAAACTGTTGAAACATACTGAAAGCAAACGCCTCCCCTTCGTATCTATGGAGTTACTCTTGTTTTGCTAGTTGATTGACCAACTTACTATAAAGTTTCATCTTAATAGTCCCTAAATTGATGGCCTGTTCCAAAAACGCAAACTGGACAAGTCAATTTCACAAATTAAGCACGTTGAGGTCTACTCGAAACAAGAGCCGGTTGAACCAGGCGATGCTCCACGAATAGGTTTTGGACACAGAAAAGTATACCTCTTGTAGTTTGAGAGTTATGTCCCAGAGAAAGTTTATAGTGTAGAATTGGAAAAAGAGAAATAACTCTAAAATTAGGCAAGGCAGAGTAACGGTTCTTATTTACTGCACTTATACTCAATGAGATCTATCTTCCAACAAGGTAGACTTACAGTTCTTGTGCAATTGCCAGAAACATGCATACCAAGTTTGGAGTCATTTGAAACTACGGTGACAAAGTTACGCTCCGGACAAGGATATCAGGACGACGCTGCCGACAAAAGTAATAATGCGCCCATATATACGTAACAGCACACATGCATGCAAGAAGTTTATTTGTGTCTAACCTGTCTATAAAATTATTTCCTGCTCTAATCTTTCCATCTTCTTGTAGACCACTGAAACTGGCTATTTAAGTAACACTACTTAGAATAATGCAGTATAGTACGCACAGAGCCAAACAATGGGCAAGGTAGCGACCCAAATGCTGCGCGAGACACGTTGTCTCAATATGGTGATCATTATTGTGAAATAGTTGTAAAATCCGACTTCAAATAACGAAGTTATGGACCGGACACGATTTTGCCGCAAGGTCATGCTGTGACCTTGACCTTAAAGTAGCTCCTCAAATACTGCACGTGACACGTCGTCTCAATATGGTGATCATTTCTGTACAATAGTTGTAAAATCCAACTTCAATTAACGAAGTAATGGGCCGGACACGATTTTGCTGCAAGGACATGCTGTGACTTTGACCTTTAAGGTAACGACCTAAATGTTGCGCGCGACACGTCGTCACAATATGGTGATCATTTCTGTGAAATAGTTGTAAAATCCAACTTCAAATAACGAAGTTATGGGCCGGACACGAATTCAAGACGTACGTACGGACTTACGGATGGACGGACAACCCGGCGACTGTATGCTCCACCGAATTTCGGGGAGCATTAAAAAGATGCATTTCAGTCAGCTACTTCTTTCTCTACCAATAATTTCCTTTTTTGTCTTTTCCGTCATTTTATCCCGTACTGTTTATCTTTTCGTTCATCTGGCATCTGTTTTTGTATTTTCTGATCAAAGATCAGGAAATACAAAGCTGACATTCTATCTCTGACACAGCGGTTAACGACAAACCTAACATCAAATAGTTCTCAAAACAGCTTAAAACTAGCGATTAAAAAGAATGAAATATTTTTATTTTGTTACAAGTATCCAACAAATTACAACGCATTTAAAGTTTAAAAGTAGCGTTGGCTTATAAAATTGTCAATAAATGCACAATCACAAATTACGCGGATGGATATGATTTTAATCAATGAAAATGCTATTTTAGCGATGTCGATTACCGAATACTACACAAATAAATCTGACTGTCGAGTAGTGGAATGTATAGATTTTACCTGTCGGACTGTTTTGGCGAGAAGATTTTCGCTAAATTATTTACATCAATTTTAAACAACAGGTTTATCGTGAACAAAATACCTCGAAATTAATAAGGATTACAAAAACCGAAATGCAATGGAAATTCTTAATTTATAATTACTTGGTTTTATTCAGGCTTTTCGTATAACATCTCCGTGGTGCAGGGGTAACACTCTCGTTTAGTGTGTGAGAGGTCTGGGGTTCAAATCTTAGTCGAGGCAATTTTTTTTCGTTTAATTTTTTTAAGTGTCTTTGATAAGAAAGTAGCCACGTTATGCAAGGATAAAGTGTGGCTGTCATAAAAATGAACATAAATGATTTTTTGATGCAACTCTAGTTATGCAAAATTTCGTAAGTATCAAACTCTGGTGCCCTGCAAGATGAATTATAGTACATAAAAATAAACTTATACTGAAAAATACATACAGGTATACAGTACGATGTAGATTGCAAAGATCAGAAAATATCACAGAGCTTGCAGTCCTTTGATTATCTTTAATTCTCATTGTTACTGTCGTTAACTACTTGCTCCTCATCATGTATTACTTACAAATCATTCATATATATTTTCGTATTACTGGAAATGAATGTTTTCATCTATAATCATAAAAACGATTACTGATGTATATCGTTGTTTTCTTTCAGTCAAAATTTAAAGGAAATCATATTTTTATATTTCAAATAGGTTGTACATGACCTAGGTCTTGACTTCACAGACGAAGAAATGCGGGACATGATAGAGGAAGCAGATCCGACTGGTGATGGTCGTGTTAATTTGGAAGGTAATTATAATTATTCTTGTGTGTTACGTCAGTCTCACGATACAGTTTACTAAGTATTGGTAACCATTTAATGAGAAGACACAAACAACCTAAGTTTAGCTTGGCTATTACTTTGAAACGATTCTGAACAAGGAACATTTTATATAGCCGAAGAGACATGGCATTAATGTAAAAATATTCATAAGCTAGCATTAATTCATGTTACGTTGCTGTATTGTGCGTCGACTATTTTGAAAAGAAAGCAAAACAACACGCGAACTTTTTCAAAAGTTAAAGCTGTTATACACATTGTACAGTTTTATTAACAATATGCATCAGTGTATCAATAACACTCGTTGAATTGTTTCAATTGCAGATTTCGTCAAGATGATGACAAGTTCTCAATAGAGAATAAATGCCAGCTAATTTAAAGATTCCGTGTTGCCAATCTAATTTCGAAGATACATATTTCCATAACTTTATATTTCTTTCTATGTATTTAAGGTGTGGAAACATTATTTATGGAAACACATTTAGCTTTAAGTGAAGAAGCAAAGGTAAATAAATAATGTTGTGTGATTTATTAAAAAAAAAAAACCCGCAAAACTGTTGTCACGTGTGTTTTTATTTAATATATGTGCGTTCTCGTTATTTCCCCCATTGTTCACTATGGCTATATACATTAGTCCTAACATCCGTCACCTGTGAATAAAAATTCATTTCACTTGTATTGGAATTTATCACCTCTATAACCCAAGAATCATCTAGGATAGGTCTTCGATTTTTATTATTTCAACATTTATTGTGTTATCTATCATTATTGGCCATCAACGTGTAGAATAAATTCTTGTCACAACGAGAGATAACGAGTTATATCTCTATGATCGCGACATTTGATGGAAGTTAAATGAATACAAGATAGCACTTTGTCAGGAGAAGAGGTCGAAGAATAGAATGTATTAGTAAATGGTGTTACCAAAGTAGATCAGAAAAACAGGCAAAACTGGAAACATGAATTATGAATTATGACAAAGAAGATAGATGACCTATCAGTGGTCAACGCGATAATAAACTAATTTAATGATATTATTCTATATGCTATCCACAATGGACTAAGCACGATGGAAGGTCAAAACAAGTTCCACTACATCAAAAGAAAGCACGAAGTAATCCGACATTTCATTAAGTTTAATGTAAAGATGAGGGAATAGTACGTACTGAGATGATCACGGGGGGAATATACACACACCGAGCAGTAAATAAACGCAACGGCTTTGTATAATTTGAACAATGATGAAAAATAAATGCGTACATCACACACACATCCATACGCACGTCGTGCGCATGCAAGCATATAACATACTTGGTCATGAAGCCAACTACATTCGCTACATTGATCTGGATATTAAGCGACAAGGGCCTGACAAAATTGTGTACGTTGTTCGGTGGTGGTTGACATGCATCACCTACATGTTGTCTATTAGCGCTCAGTCTGGCTACGAAAATGAGCCGGATTTGCAAGCATCCCCTCAAAACCGGAAATAATTATTCAGAAATAAAAGTAACGGATATAATAATAAAATAGATTTGTTGTCCAACATAGAAAAACCAGAGGAATGAGTTGGTTATTCGTGCGTATCCTCTTCTACCAGCTAGACAGTAATTGGTTATTCGGATATTGCCACATTCAAATTCATATATATATATATTTGATATCCAAAGAGAAATAAATCTATTTAGGTAAAATTATCAATAACATGTCTGACAATCATAATCGGTGTTCAAATATAACCAAACAGAATTAATGTTGAGGTAGACATTTTGTACTTTGAGTTTCTACAACTATAATAATAAGTACACAATGTATATTAATAATGTATTTGTTACTGTTGTTTCTGTACAGTTACTGAATATTGGTGGAATTTTACTCGATGCATTGCAATATATCTAGTCAAGAAATACCAACATTAAAATACTATTTGTGTACATATTTAGTTTTTCACGCAGATAAGAATGAAATACCGTATTCGTTCAGTGTATTCTTTCTGTTGTGCTCGATGTCCTTTGTAAAGGGTCGAGAAGATGTGATTGTCTAACTTTCATAGGTAGTTACGCGTGCACATTCTTTCAATTTATAATAAACATGTACGTAAATGCGCCTGCACTTTTACATTAAATCAGTCTCGTATATACATGTATGTACATGTCTCTGTGAAAAACTAGTTCCACTATTACGTTTTCATAATTTCCAGTAAATGAATGTAAGAACACCTATACTTCTGACTTCGTGTTTATATATAAGAATAAGTTCAAAAAAGTGTACCTTCTAACCTTCTATCATATGCCGGATCTTGATAAATCCTTAAACATAGGTATTTTAAAATAACTACAATGTATTTTTTTTCTAATATAATGTATGCTGGATGCTGGACATATTCCAAAATCATGATGGTGTTATTTTGTATACGATAGATTGAATCATATGACATTTAAAATAAAAATCTACGTATTTTGGATCATCTCTCGTATTTACAAAAAGCACAGTGGATTTATAAATCTTGGCGTATATCAGTAAAACAATAATGGTTTGTACTGTTATTTTTTATCAATTTTGGGTGTACAAGTATGTTTTTCTCTTCCACTTTCTGTTATACATGTGTGTTAACATGTAAATTTTGCCAGAATATTATGGAATTTTTCAGTACTTGCACAACCTATTTTACAGTAACAAAAAGAAATGTAAAAATTAGTATATTTAGAAGTATAGATATAATCAATCTGCACCTGTTTTGCACACTGATGACACACCTTTGTCTGTAGGTTTATCATACTGGCAACCGATATTAACCATATGGACAAGAATATCCGCACATTTGCTGCACCGGTGTTTGTATAATTATCAGCGGGAACTTGAGTTGATATACCTATACCATCTCATTGTTCGTTAGTTGTAATAAGATTCGACAACTCATTTCTTTCAAGTAAAACGATTTTTGGAAAAAACATACCCTCCCCTACGGGTCAGTCAATATCCCGGGGTGAGTACATTTACCTTTTACCTTTAAATTTACTCCGCAAAAATTTCCCGGGGGTGTTTTGGGGTTTAAAAATATGGAGGTTTTGAAAAAAGGGCCGCAACCCAAGAAAAACTTAAATTATTGTCCAAAAAGTAAAAAGACGTGCGAAATAGTGCTCATGTTCAAGGAAAGGTATTTATTTTTTCTTTACACACCTCCTCTATTGTTTGTGACAGGTCTATATTTTTCGGATAGACCTGTTTAAACAAAGAAAGTACGTTATGAGGTCTATCTTTTGCACGTGCACAGGTCTGTTCTAGTCAGACAGACCCGGTCATGAAAAACACGTGAAACAAGAAATATCTTTAAAAAAGATAATCGGCGTAAATTCAGTGCAAAATGTCTCATAGCTATTAGAATATTTTTTCAAAATTAATGATATTTATACTTTATAACAATATAAATGTCTAAATTGAAATATATTTGTGGTTACTAGTATAATTCTATGACAGTTGTCTAAACTTAGCTGAAACATGTATGCTCCTATAATGTCAACAAATTAGTCATGTTATTATTAGATGCTAGAAGCTTTTTTGTCACCTGTGACTTTTGACTACTGGTTTCAAAAGTCAATACCAATAATAACCAACCACACTACCAAATTTTAGAGACTGCAAAGGCCCACAATCAGCTGACAACTTGAATTTTATTGTTAAATATAATATTAAACTTATATGTATCTGACCTTCATTTTGTAAAAAGCACTTTCTGTGCATAAAATGCTGCAATTATTAGGTCATGATTAATAACATCAAAAATCTTTTGTTGTTTAATAATCTTTTTATTTATGAAAGGATACAAACTGTAATAAAACAAATCAATGGAACATATCAACTCTGAAACATATACTATTTTATAATGCCTTCTTATCTATCTGGCAATGAAAATGAATAATTTGAAGACTTTAAATCAAAAGTTAAACATAACCTTACTAGTAAAAGTTATAATTATGTATTTTAAAAAAAAAGGATTTCTATTAAAAAAATTGCACAGCTTGACTAGTATTTTGTATATTACAGTATGGGAGGCTATTCGTTGCCAAAAATCCCAGTCTTGTTGATCTGAAAGTTGAACAGTTTGTTAATGAAAAAATTACAATTGTTATTTCTTTGTATGTAAACTCCAATGTTGCATACTTGGATTGAGTTTTGCCGATTTAACATTGTAAAACATGCATTTCAACAATATACATTTTGTTAAACGACAAAACATTAACTGATAGTAGCAATACCAAGTGTTCGAATACTCAAAAACAGAAGTCACATTCTTAGCTTTACATTGTCGAACCATCATTGATTCAGATCAGCATAATCCAGCTTTACACGTTTTCAATAGCAGATAAAATTAGCTCCGCCCCATTTTCCCGCCCACTAAATCATCGTAAATAAACGTATTTTCCGCTATTTTCGGTATTTTACCGTCAGCGACAAGAAGCTTATCATACTATTTAGGTGTCTAGTTACTAAACATAATTCACTTGCATGATTGCCTACAATCAACATTCAGCGGGACTTTTAAGGAATATAGGCATATAAGTTTTTAAAACGTTGTAGACACCACATTTCCTGGAAAAAGAAACTTAAAAAAAACCCCAAAAAAACACCAGGTTACATACTGTCTGAGGTTAAATATTTTCAAGGAAGTGAAAACGATTGAAAAGACTATATTCAACGACAAATAAATTTTACTGATGGTATTCCAATTTGCATAGAATGAGTAACATTTACAGTTAAGCTGCTACCTTACCACTTTCAAATTTTCAAGTCAACATCTGATAAAGATTTTACTAATACAGACCAACTTCTGGCTGTTGTCTTTCCTAGTAGTACTATTATATTAGTAACCTTAATTCTAGCGTATGACTTGACAAGAAAACAAAACCTTTAACAATAGTAAAATTATAACAAAGTTGTATGTACCCTTTTGTACATAAACTTTTTTATTTTTACCATATATTTTCCAATTTTTCCCATTTTTTTTCAATAATTAAAATTTAAATGAGTCCTATTATGTATGTTGATTATCAATTTATGTATACCTTGTTTATTTTATCTCTTAGAAAGCCATCACTTACAAAACTTAATAAATATTCTGTGTAGTATTTCATGTAAATAAAAGAAGTTCTCTGTTTTTGATCATATAGACAGCAAATCTAGACAGCAAATCTAGGTAACAGCTATTGACAGCATGTATACACATATTTTAGAGGTGCTATTGATTCAGTACAATGCATAAAAAGACCTTAACCTACGCCAGCTTACATATATTAAACAATAAAAGGCTAAATCACATCCTTTGACTCAAAATACCTCCCCATGGAGGTAAACAGAGTTGCCAGGATACACTGAATATTTATTTCAACATTAAAATGGGACAAATTCACAAAGTTTTGGTTTATACAACGGAATTATCGATAGTAAACTTGCATTGTTTCGTGGTTATACACTTTGGTAAAAAATATGAGTTTTTTCTATAACCCA